TACCCACAGTTCCGTGTAACTCACACCAAAATCTCGCCGTAATAGACTGTTTCATTGGCTAATCCCTCACATCATCCAGAATGCGGGTTATATGACAACTCCTCCACATCCTAGTGTAGCAAAGACAAGTAAAACGAAATTTTGAACAAAAAAAAAACGGAACGAAAAAGGATCTGTGTTTTAATCTGATCGAGTCCAAAAAGGGTTCAATTCTGTTCAGCATTTTCAAAGTCAAGTGGAATTGAAATTTAATCGATCTTTACTGCTCCCTATTCAATAACCCCACAAAGATTTTGTGTCCACTAAAATTTAATGGTAGACCGATTGAATCCAAGCCAGAAGATTATCTAGCTTTGATATTTTTATTTTGCTTTCTTAATTAAATGTCAGATAATCAATCTGAGTACATATTAGCGTGGATTAAGCCGTGAGAAATTTAATATTTTAGCGACAAATTCCAATGGCACAGCATCGTTAGATTAACTGTCTATACCACACCCTCATCACACTAACTTTACTATTCTCATATTTTCCTGGGGGGTTGGATGGCCGAATGGTTAGCACGCTCGCGCTGTATCATACGGTCTGTCATTGAGTCAACTGGCGGGGTTTCGATTCCCCGGTTGTAAATGTACGTGACAAGGAGTAGGGTCGCCTGTCCAACCTCATGGGTTTTCTCTCCGGGTCCTCGGGTTTCCTCCCACTGCTAAAGACCCCTACGCGCAAGCGAATTATGGAAATAAAATTGAACCATATGTTAGTCCCGCTGAAATGACCTAGTTTGTGTCAAGAGGACGTTAAACCCCATAGAATACAGACCTCAAGGCTAAATACTAATGATTCCCCAATTGCTTATACAAGGTTAGCGAGGATCTAATCCAGCAGCTTTCTTACTTACCCACCATCATTTATACAAAAACATTTAATTATTTATCATAACATTATAATTGATAATTATAGACAAGGGCAATAACTTCTAAATTATATCAATATGTAATTGTTCTCCAGTTAACAGGACATTTTATTTCCTAAGACTATGACTGAAATCCTCTAGCCAGTTAGTCAAGAAAATAAAAGCCTTGCAATAAATTGCAAAAGTAACAGTCTAAAATTTAGGTTTTCTTAATATATATTAGTGTGGATTAAGCCGCGAGAATTTGACAGTAAGTCGGTAACGTCTAAAATCTGAAAACTTTTAAAAGCCTTCTTCGTCTCATTGATGTAAACAATTTCATCAATCATTAGTACACATAGATGATAACTATGTCTCTAAGGGGTGCACAAGGATCTATAAATAAAAAAAATTCAAGGGCAATAACTTGGTAAAAATAAAATTGTATCTCTGATTAAAATGTATTATCAGAGAGCTAACATGAACACAAAGTTAAACACAAAAATGTGAAAGTTTTTTTTTGACTCGTTTTTAAAGATTTGATACTCAGTCACCCAAATTTAATTTTAAAAAATTGTAAAATTCTAAGTCTAAGGCATTTTAAATTTGAGGTGACCCAACGTTTCATATAGTTGTTAGTTCGTTTTTCAAGAGTCATTTTATTCACTAGAAATAAGTTGGAGATCGCGGAACAAAGTTTCTATCCCTTGTTAGTTCGTTGCATTATCATCGTGGAATCATTTGAATAATTTAACACACAAAATAAATAAAACCTTGCTCTGTTGTCTGTATAAAAAAAAAGGTATTTTTTAATATAAAATCTGTTATCTACCTTTCAAATGTACATATTTTTTTTATTTTAAATATAAATACCCATGTGTAAACAGAAATTATTATTGATAAAGAAGACTGTTTCCATGACAACATGTACATTATATAACAATAACGATTATATAAAATAAAAACAAAACATAGACCGCCCAGTAAACCCACCAGCAGCAAAAACATTCCTGGTAACTCAACAAATATTGTCAACAAATCATGTTTTGAACTCTGTTGTTGTTGGGGGGGGTGGGTGGCGGGAAGCCGAATGGTTAGCGCATGCACGTTGAATCGTAAGGTCTGTCAATTAATTTAACTGGCATAGTTTCGATACCCTGGGTTTACATGACAAGGAGTAGGGTCGCCTGTTGTTAGTCCTAAAATGACCTAGTTTAAGTCAAGTGGAGTTAAACCCCATTTCTCTCTCTCTCTCTCCCTCTCGCTATCTCCCTCTGATGTTGTGGGGAGTCGCAGTGGTTCAGTGAGTAAGACATTGGATCGCTGACCCATAGGTCCTGTGTTCGATCCCAGTGTTGAAGAAGGTTGTCATACGCTTCAATAAACAATCTCAAAGTTTGAAAACATTCAGTTTGGAACTTTTTCCATTATCACACTGTGCATTAATTCGGTTGTTAAATGAAGATCACTTAGCAATTTGGATGTAAATAGGCAATTTTAAAATGGGCAGATAACTCAGCAATTTGGCATCAGACATATTAATACAAATGACAAAATGTCTTACTTGTGATTAGGCCTGACAAGGACATTGGAATGCACGTAAAAGATCCCTTGGAAGTTGGAATTCGATATAAGAGTAGGCGATAGTGCCGCTGGCCGGGCAAAATTTGCCTCATAGCATGCTGTATGGCGTATGCCCGTCTTCATTAGCCCAGTTTAGGAGCAGAACAGTAGGATGTTAAACCCCATTTCATTTCATTTCATTTACTTGTGATTATCATAAAGTCTGTCATTGAGTCAACTGGCGGGGTTTCGATTCCCCGGTTCTATGTGACAAGGAGTAGGGTCGCCTTTCCAGCCTCGTGGGTTTTCTCTGGGTCCTCCGGTTTCCTCCCACTGCTAAAGACCCCTACGCGCAAACGGATTGTTGAAATAAAATTAAACCATATTTTAGTCCTGAAATGACCTTGTTTGTGTCGAGTGGACGTTAAACTCCATTTCTCTCTCTAATAAAAAAAACATGTGAATATGAAAATCAATCTTTCAAGAATTTGCATAGGGAATTTGTGGATCGGACAAAAGTGACGATAAGATATATCCACATAGAATGCAGGCGGGTGTATAAAAGTTATAATAATAAATGTTTAAATATTTGGCAATCGGTGGTGAATCAGGAATGTACAATAAAACTCTACATAGTTTAAAATTCCTGGAATTAATCAGACAGATGTCCCGAATACAATCTGGTACCAAAAACAAAGCATCTGATGTTTTTTGACAACATTAAAGTTGCGTTAGGTAATATTTAGATAAAATGTTGATGTTTTTTGACAACACTAAGGATGCATTAATTTAGATAGTTAAATGTTGATGTAACAGCTAAATATATTTAAAGTTTTTTTACACATGAGAATTTTCAGATTTAACTTAATGTTTTTAGAATAAATTCTTTACAGAAAATAGAGGGGCATAACTCTTGTTTAGGCAGACGGATTCAGACCATAATTAAAAATTCCACGTCGACAAAATATTCAAATTCGTACATGTTATTTTTTATATTTAATTCCTTTGCAGTATTCGAATTTATGTCGGTAATATTCAGTAACAATCTGATTAAAATAAAGATCTATATTTCGTTTCGTTTTTTATACTTTTGATGGCCTACACTACATGAAGATCTGACCAGTTTTACTTGGAGGTTGTGTCAGGGTCATACGAGCGGCATTTGACCCTTTGACGTAAGGCATTGATTAATCAATCAGCATTGACGTTTCTAGTGGTTTACCCACAGTTCCGTGCAGAGAAAGGCAAGAACTCGCCGTAAAAGACCATCTCTTTGGCTAATTCCTCACATCAACTAGAACGCTTTTTATATAACAACTTTTCCAGATCCTAGTGTAGTACAGACAAGTAAAACAAAATTTTGAACTATAAAAAACGAAACGAAATAGGATAGCTACGGTAATTTGTTGCCTATCATTGGTTAGCTGAGTAAAGTTGAAATATTGCACGTTATAAAATAAAGCATTTAAAAATATTGTGAAATTCAAAACTATTTTACAAAATATCTATTTTCTATTTCTTTTGATTTTTGAATAATTAAAAACCAAGTTAATTAAATCAATTAACCAATTAAAAATATTCCCATGATAAATAGTGTTTCATTAATTAATCTGACATCAGCTTAATAACAAACTGTAGTCTTTGATTCAAATTAATTTGAACTGTATGTAATTCCCCCCAACCCTAACCCTTTATGAAATTAGTAAATATTAATGATCACATCACATTAAACTATTCAAGTTATTAAACTATAATACATACTTATGGAAGTACAATTACTGATTTATTTAGGCGACGTTTTGAAGAGTATTCTCTCAACGTTTTCAAGCAAGTACAGTAACAAGTGTGTAGGGCAATGAAAATTATTAGATTATCCTTTAGAGGCATTTTGTAACTGGATAGAGCAATAAACTATAACACATACTTATGGAAGAACAATTACTGATTTATGTAGGCGACGTTTTGAAGAGTATTCTCTCAGCGTTTTCAAGAAAGTACAGTAATACTGATGATAAAAAGGTCCAATTCCAAATCATGGATCGTTTTAGTTAGTATTCAAATTTCCGAAAATTTTAAACCTTTCAAATAATTTCCTTTTTAGGTTGTCTATACCTGAATATATTAGTCGATTTCATATTAATATTAGCAAATGTTTCCTTTGGCTTGTTTTTGAATTCTTACTTTATAATGTGTGTATTTAACATGAATCTTATCTGAATAAAATATATCCAACAGGGAGCAAAAACATCGAATCAAACTCTATTAATTTTTATGAATACCAAAATATCTGGTCCAATATCCAAGAAAAAACAGTTTAAATATTTGTGTGCACAATCGAAATTTAAAAATTTACTGAACTAATCAAAATTTAAAAATTTACTGAACTAATCGAAATTAAAAAATTTACTGAACTAATCGAAATTTAAAAATTTACTGACCTTAAAATAGATTTAATTCATTACTAGTTATTTATCGTCCAAATGGCTTGATTGCTTGATTATTTAAAATGACACACTCAAATGTTTTTTGTTTGTTTTTTTGGGTGGGATGGGGTGGGCGTTGTTTATTAGTTGAAAATGGATGTCAATTTTTGGGAAGTTGTATATTTGTTGAAATGGCTGTCAATTTTTATTTTTTATTTGGGGGGGGGGGGGCTATTTACTTATCTTCATCATTATTTTGAATCTCTGGCTGTTCATCTCCAGAAGTCTGTTTAAAGTCACGATCCTGAGTTACCTCCCATGACGTGGAATCGGAAGATCCTGAATCTGAATTTCTTTTCTTGGAGTCTTCAGTGTTTGGCAGAACTGGTTCCTCAATACTTGATGATGAATCATCACTTTTTTTTAATCTCGATTCTGGTTGGTCGGTTTTCGTTTCTTCATCTGATTTGATGTCATCCAATGAAACTTCGATGGCCTCTTCTTCACTTGAATTGCTGTCCTCTACCACACTCTCAATTTTCGCAACATCGTCAGACTCTGAACTCGTGACCATGACAGGGGAATCACTCTCTGTAGAGCTACCTTCCCTAGGTGCCAAGATTTCAGGTGGAGTTTCCATAGTTACTGACTCTGAACTTGTGACCATGACAGGTGATTCACTCTCTGTTGAGTTATCTTCCCTTGGTGACGGCGACGTTTCCACAGTTAAAGAATCAATTTTTGGATCGTTAGTGTCTGAAGACATATCGCTCTTGGCGTCTTCAATTCCTTTAGCGGCATCTTGGTAACCATGGAGATTTACGTGTTCAAACTCATTGGTACCAGTTACTGACTGGGTAACGGGGACTACATCATTTTTGTGTTCAGATTCACCAGTAGATTTGAAACCCTGTGACGTAAGGGAACCTGCTAGGGGGACCAGACTGTGCGAGTCCTCTCTGGTCGTCTGGGGAAGTTGCTCGGAGTTTGTCGATAGAAGACTGCGGGTGTCAGGGGTCTCGATGACACGCAGAGGAACGTGACGTCCCACTTCTACAGAACTAGTCGAACTGTGTCTGAAATTAAAATCAAGCAATTTAACAATACTGGATCATCCTTCGTTTGATAATGTAAAAAGAACAGCCGCCCATAGATATTTCAGATATGTTAGCAGGCAAACAAAGATAGGTTGCCAGGCAACAAAACATACGCCCACAGCAGGAAAATTGTCCGGGCAGTTAACAAGAGTTGTCGCATATTTTTACTCTTTTCGGTAATGAAACATTTATAATACATTAAAATCTGATTAATAGTAACAACTCATGAAGTAATTATCAGAAAACCATTAGAATTGGTTTGGTTTTTAAAAAGTTCTGCCCGATGCTAACGTTTAGTAAACAAAACATTTAATATCATGGATTTAGCTGTTCAAGTCATAAAAATTCATTGAAAATCAATATACTTGGTCGTCTCAAGATCTTAAACTCGGTGTATCAATCTGAAGTCAATCGGATGATAACTTTAGCCTTCAGAGCATCACAAAGTGATCAAGGGCCATAACTTTGGCAGTAATTATCAAAAATCGTTGAAAATCAATAGGATTCTTCATCTCATGATCTTAAACACTGTGTATTATAAATTTAAAGTCAATCGGATATTAACTGTGGCTTCTAGAGCGTCCACAAGATTTCTTGAAGTGATCAAGGGCTATAACTCTGGCAGTAATTATCGGAAAAAGCTGAAAATCAATAGGATTTCGAATATTAACTTTGGCCTCTAGAGCATCCACAAGATTTTTTGAAGTGATCAAAGGCCATAACTCTGGCAGTAATTATTGGAAATCGCTGAAAATCAATTGGCTTCTTCGTCTCATGACCTCAAACACTGTGTATAAATTTAAAGTCAATCGGATATTAACTTTAGCCTCTAGAGCATCCACAAGATTTTTTGAAGTCATCAAGGGCCATAACTCTGGCAGTAATTATCGGAAATCGTTGAAAATCAATAGGTTTCTTTGTCTCATGACCTTAAACACTGTGTATAAATTTAAAGTCAATCGGCCGGACGGATGGGGGTGACCACAATATACGACCACATTTAAATGAAATTGGGTCGTATAAGAGAGAGAGAGAGAGAGAGAGAGAGAGAGAGAGGGCTTAAAGGTCACTGAAAAAGCTTCATAAATTTTTTAAATAAAGCAAGTAATTATGTCAACATATCCTTTCAATGAGTATAACACGTAACTGTCGTAACTTTCCGTCAATAAACAATCATTTTAATGACGTCATAGATTGTTTATTGACGGAAAGTTACGACTACTCACGGAAAACAGCATAAATGATTAATGTTGAAATTTACCTGTTGCAGGTAATATTGGCATTCAGGTACGTGTTATACTCATTGAAAGGATATGTTGACATAATTACTTGCCTTATTTAAACAAAATTTGAAGCTTTTCCGGAGACCGTTAACTGCCACTCAACACAAACTTGGTCATTTCAGGAATATCTTATGGTACAATTTTATTTTAAAATATACTTGCACATTTAAGAAAACCGGACTATCTTGTGAACTACCGTGAGGTTAGACATGTGATCCTACTCCTTGGCCTTCTATGTTATATATATCATTTATTACACATTTATTTACATGACAGGCCTATAATCAACTCTCTGGACCAATTGATGGCTGTGATTTTCAACGGATTTAAATTAATAATTTAATTCAAAAATGGATAATCAAGGTTTGTTTTTTATCGTAACAACGGTATCAATGACTAATGTAATTTGACTGAAATTTTCAATGTATTCCATTTTCATTATCTATTTTATAATATTATAGTGAGAACTGTCAGCTTGTTATCTACATCTTATATAAATGAAATGAAATGAACGTCCTACTGTACTGCTCCTATACTGGGCTAATGAAAACCGGAATACGCCATACACTTTGCTATGGGCGAAATTTTGCTCGGGCAGCGGCACTATCGCCTACTCTTATATCGAATTCCAACTGCCAAGGGATCTTTTACGTGCATTCCAATGTATACACGGGACCTAGGTTTTTTGTCTTATCCGAAGGACTAGACAGCTGTCCTTGTCAGGTCCTCCGACATCTTATATAATGCATGTTTAAGTGCTATGTATAAATCGTTCCTAAGATAATCAAGACTAACCGATCACTGGCCGTACTTTCTAGAAACAGATGATTATCAGCCACGCGATCACCGGCCATATCAGCCATCTGTATTTCTTTAACTTGTCCTAGCGCCATCTGGTTACTCAAGGTCAATGTATGAACTCTCTGTTGTAAAATCTGATGATCTGACTTCAAACTTCCTCTAAAATACAAAATATCATCAGTTTAATATCATGTAACACAAACCAGTCAATATTGTGTTATTTTTAAATGTGGGTATTGAGCCGAGAGAAAGAGAAAGAGAGAGAGAGAGAGAGAGAGAGAGAGAGAGAGAGAGAGAGAGAGGTTTAAGTCCACTCGACACAAACTAGGTCATTTCGGGACTAACATATGGTTTAATTTTATTTCAATAATTTGCTTGCGCGTAGTTGTCTTTAGCAGTGGGAGGAAACCGGAGGACCCGGAGAAAACCCATGAGGTTGGACAGGCGACCCTACTCCTTGTCACGTACAACCGGAGATTCGAAACCACCCCAGTTGACTCAATGACAGGCCATATGATACAGCACGCACATGCTAACCATTCGACCATCCAACCCCCCTGAGCAGAGAGAGAAAAGGTGTTTAACATCCACTCAACACAAACTATTACATTTTGGGGAACTTTATCTCAATAATTCACTTGCATGTAGGGATCTTTAGCAGTGGGAGAAAGCTGGAAGACCCGTAGGTTGGACAGGCGACCCTAAAGTATCTAAAGTGCATATGATAAACCATTCGGTCATGTAGCCCCCATGTTCCTGAAGCAACGACTGCAAGTTTTACAACATCTCGACGTTGCCAGATTACTTAACAATTCCTGAACTTATAGCTAAGTTTTCTTTCTTTACTACAGACACGTGAGCAGTAGCGTCCAATCAGCGGTTGTGACATAGCGACTTCCACGGAAACCATGACATTGAACAAACCTTGAACTTTACAACTCGATTATCACAGGTAGACGTTTAAGCTGGAAAGCGCGATGATCGGGGAATCTGATAGTCTCCCATGCATGGTGAGTACCTAATTGAAATTAGTGCCGAAATATGCAGGGTATTACGTGAAGGCCTTGATAAGATGTACATAGTTAAAGCGAGATCAAGCTCTCTATAGAAGATGCATAGTCCCCTCCCCCTCCTTGTGACTGATGAACAAAGTGTAGAGTGATTAGTCATTCAATTACAGATTCTAATTCACTTGTTGTAACTTACAACTGGGCTTGTAGTTCTATAATAACTTGTTGTAACTTACAACTGGGCTTGTAGTTCTATAATAACTTGTTGTAACTTACAACTGGGCTTGTAGTTCTATAATAACTTGTTGTAACTTACAACTGGGCTTGTAGCTCTATGATAACTTATTGTAACTTACAACTGGGCTTGTAGTTCTATAATAACTTGTTGTAACTTACAACTGGGCTTGTAGTTCTATGATAACTTGTTCTAATTGATTTCGTTCACGTCTTTGTTCTAATTCAACTCCTCTTAACGACTGGATAAATCTTTGTTTCTGTAGATTGGCCTCATCCAACTGTTTCTCTCTCATTCTCAACAATTCTTCCAGATATCCCTAAAATAGAAATGAAATGAAATAGGGTTTAATGTCCTATTGTTCTCCTCCGAACTGAGCTAATGAAGATAGGCATACATCATACAGTGTGCTATCAGAGAAATTTTGCTCCGACAGTGACACTACGGCCTACTCTTATATCGAGTTCCAACTGTCAAAGGATCTTTTACGTATACACAGGACCGTGGTTTTTTTCATACTATCCAAACGACTAGACAGTTGTCCTTGTCAGGTCCTCCATTCTGCATCACTGACAAGGGCCTAAAATAGAACATGATATCTCTAAAATAGGACATGATATCTCTAAAATAGAACATGACATCTCTAAAATAGAACATGACATCCCTAGAATAGAACATGATATCTCTAAAATAGAACATGGTATCTCTAAAATAGAATATGATACCTCCAAAATAGAACATGTTATAACTAAAATAAAACACAGTATTATTTCAAATTCCAACTGTCAAGAAAGGGTTCTTTTACGTGCATGCCAATGTGTTCCATGTTCTTAGATTTGTTTGTCCCATCTAAACGACTAGACACTATCATTGCCAGGATCTTGAACCTGCACCACTGACAAGTGGAAATCAGACTGGAATATCCAACACTGGGAGTGAACCCGAGATCAAATGATTAGCGAGCAAATGCCTTACTCACTGAGTCATACACAGCCAGGCAAGATACGCCCACATTTTGCAAGAGATGGATAGAGAACAAGCTAAAAAAAAAAATGAGAGTTTTCGTACAATCAGAGGCTATAATCCACAAAGTTATGGTCTGAAATGGGCGAATATCGAGAGGAACTGAGATCTTTGGGATATAAACATCTATTTTGAGTTTCATAAAAAAATCAGACAAAAATTGTGACCTCTAGAGGGTACACAAACTTGGTATTACACTCAATTTGAGTTCAAGCAGTGACCATATTATGTTGGGCATTTTTGGTCCAATTTTTACGAAATTTGAACTCAACGATGAAATAATTAAACGATTTTTAAAATTGGATAAAAATTGTGACCTCTAAAGGGACCACAAGCTAAAAACGTGATTTTTCGTAAAGTCAGGGGCCATAATCAGATATGAGCAAATATCAAAAGGAACCAAGATCTTTGGGTTATAAACATACAGTTCAAGTTTCATCAAAATTGGATAAAAGTTGTGACCTCTAGAGTGTCCACAAGTTGAAAACATGATTTTTAGTACAATCCGTAATCAATGGTTCGATACATGCCAATATCAAAATTATTCAAGATCTTTGGGAAATAAACCTATACGTCCAAATTGGATAAAAACTGTGACCTGTAGAGTGTCCACAAATAAATAGTGGGCTGACTGACAGACAGACGTCGAGACAGACAGTCGCCACGACAACAGGCATCTACATGAAAATGTGGGCTTATAAAAATTTGTATTTAAATTCAATTTGATTAAAATACAGATCTATTTTTAGTTTCGTTTTTTTATACTTTCGATTGCCTACACTACATGAAGATCTGACAAGTTATAGTGGGGGTTGACGTCTGGGGTCAAACGAGCGGCTTTTGACCCTATGACAACACACATTTATTAATCAATCAGCGTTGACGTTTCTAGTGGTTTACCCACAGTTCTGTGCATCAAAAGGCCAAGAATTAACTTGCCGTAACAGACTGTTTCATTGGCTAATCCCTCACACCATCCATAACGTGGGTTATATAACAACTCTTCCAGATCCTAGTGTAATACAGGCCCTTTCATTGGCTAATCACTCAAACCATTCAGAACACGTCAACGATAACAACTCTTCGAGATCCTAGTGTAGTAAAGACAAGTAAAACGTAATTTTGAACTATAAAAACCAAATGAAATAGGATCTGTGTTTAAATCAGATTTGGATGATAGAAAGCATAATCTACCTTTTGTTCACTGATACCACGATATTTGTTCTCTAAGGTTTTGTATTTCTGTTTCCATTTGTTATCAGAGTTTTCTGAATCGTCTGTGAGAATACTGCTGGTTCGACTTGAGTTACTCAATGTATACATCTCCTCTTCATCACGTGTTGTACTCTCTAAACTAAATATATATAAACATAACCTCAAAACTAAACATTTATAGCTAATTATATTGTTTGCACGTGACAAGGAGTAGTGTTGACTGTCCAACCTTGTGGGGTTTTTCCAGGTCCTCTGGTTTCCTCCCACTGCTAAAGCCACTACGCGCAAGCAAATTATAGATATGTTAGTCCCAAAATGACCTAATTTGCGTTGAGTGGAGGTAAACCCCATTTCTCTCTATATATATATATATATAGTTGAATAATGCCTATTTTCTTTTATCCCTAAATTGCTGACTGGATATAAAATATCACCCTTATCGTTATTGACAGCAATTGCCAGACACAAACTATGTCATTTCTGGACCCATGTAATTTCTTGCACCTTGTTCACCCGGAATTTCCGTCGGTTTTTTCACTGTTGACAGTGGTGCAGGACGGGGGGTCTGACAAAGATGGAGGGCCTGACAAGGACAGCTGTCTAGTCGTTCAGATGTGACGAAAAATTGAGGTACTGTGTACACATTGGCATGCAAGTAAAGGATGCCTGCTAACGCACGGGCAAAATTTCCTTCATAGCACACTGTATGACGTACGCCCGTCTTCATTAGCCCAGTTCGGAGCAGAACAGTAGGACGTTAAATCCCATTTTATTTCATCTCATTAAAACCGTGTCGTTAACCGTAATGACGTTAAGAGTTTTATAAAGATGAGATACGTACCTCTGTTGATATCTAAGATACGGAGTGTAATCTACACATAATGGTCCAAGTAAATCGATATTCTGACCTTTTAAACAAAAACTGAAAAAAAAAAACGATATTAAATTTAACACTTCTGGTGTAGTTGATTTCTTTTTTTATAATTTGTTTTCAAGTGCATGAGTGAGATCATGCGATCTAACAACCAAATTATTTTCAAATAAATCATTCCTAATATTAGTGCTATCATTATGAAATGTTCAGGAATTGTTCCAATAACCAAAATAATGCAAGTTCACCCAAAGCTGCTGTCATTGAGTCAAATGGCGGGGTTTGATTCCCCAGTTGTACGTGACAAGGAGTAGGGGTCGCCTGTCCAACCTTGTGAGTTTTCTCTAGGTCCCCCGGTTTCCTCCCACTGCTAAAGACCCCTACGGGCTAGCAAATTATTGAAATAAAAAATTGAACTATGTATTAGCCCTGAAATGACCTATTTTGTGTCGAGTGGATGTTAAACCCCATTTCTCTCTCTGTGTGAAATATCCGTTTTTACTAGGCTAGTCAGATCCGAACAGTACAACGTTAAACCCCATGTCATTTCAAAGATCATTGTACCTGAAATCAATGGCGTTTAAACCCAGTAAAACTCCACATATCATTGTAGCTTCTTCTGACAACATAATAGCCCCATCCATATAAAACTTCCTGTAATATAGAAAAAACAAATTGATATAAGTCAAACTTATCACAAGACACATTCAGCAAAATCATATTCATAAAAAAAAGGTGAAATGAAATGAAATGGGGTTTAATGTCCTACTGGGCATATGCCATACACTGTTTGCTATGAGGGAAATTTTGCCCGGACACAGACTATGGCCTACTCTTATATCGAATTCCAACTGCCAAGAGAATCTTTTATGTGCACGCCAATGTATACACAGGACCTCGTTTTTTTTTGTGTCATCCAAAGGACTAGACAGCTGTCCTTGTCAGGCCCTCCAGCATGCACCACTGACAAGGGGAAACCATTTCGGAAAATCCCATTGAACTTTCTCGGCCAATGCAGGGATTGAACATGCGACCTCCAAGGTAGCAAGCCAGCTTCTTACCCACTTTGCCACTGTGGCTCCCCCATAAAAGACAGGTTTCTTAGAGGCAAATTAATGAAAGACATCATAAAATCTGATTTCGAATTTAATATCAAGAAATTGAGCCAGGATCCAGAACAGGTGGTTTGTTCAGTATATACTGGACTCCCCAGGTCTACTAAGCATGCTGAAATGCTAGACCCCATAACATTAATGAAAACCTAAAGTATATGAATTTAAAGGCTCAATACCACTCTTGTTGTAACTGAATAATATGTCCCAATCTTTATTCTGGTCAACAAATAGTACTATTTTACAAAATTCCAATTAATTGAAGATAGAAATTTCATGTTAACACACCTAATTTAAAAAATTGGAAAAATTCAACTAAATGATTTGAAAAGCCTAATGTGACTTGGGTTTAAAGATATTTTTGAACCCTTTGGACAAGTAAAATAGGATGTGATGGATAATTTACACAACAGGTAAGACACTAACACATCTAGTACTTAGAATAAGGCTATTTTTTTATTTTCTGGAGCTGTCAAGTCAGCAAGCGTGTTATTGTCCCTTTAAACAGATGTAAATTGAAAGTAGAAATGTTATTTAAATCTTACTTGGTCAATTTGGTCTGTTTGACGGCTGTTGATAAATATTCTGATAATCGTTTCTCCATTAACGCACATCGAATAAACGCCCGACCCTAAAAGAGAGAGAGAGAAAAATGGGGTTTAACGTCCACTTTATTTCAATAATTGGCTTGCGAGTAGGGGTCTTTATCAGTGAGAGGAAACCGGAGAAAACCCACGAGGTTCGACAGGCGACCCTACTCCTTTTCACATATAACAGGGGAATCGAAACCATGCCAGTTGACTCCATGACAGACCTTATGATACAGCGCGCACATGCTAACCATTCGGCCATCGAACCCCCCCCCCTCGACCCTAAAATACAAACAACATATTTATTATGATAGTATATATATGCAGTATGGAAGATTACAATTTTATTAAAACACAGATCCTATTTCGTTTCGTTTTTATGGTTCAAAATTTCGTTTTACTTGTCTTTACTACACTAGGATCTGGAAGAGTTGTTGTCATTGACTTGTTCTGAATGATGTGAGGGAATAGCTAATGAAACAGTCTGTTACGGAAAGCTTTAGGCGTGTTTCGCACGGAACTGTGGGTAATCCACTAGTAACATCAATGTTGATTGGTTAATCAAATGTCTGCGCCATAAGGTCAAAAGCTGCTCGTACGACCCCTCACGCGACCTATCACTACAACTTGTTAATCTTCTTCATGAAGTGTAGGCCATCGAAAGTATAAAAAAAATGAAACGAAATATAGATCTGTATTATAATCAGATTGGGAAGATTAGATAAAGACCTGACATTTCTTGCTATAAAAGTTGAAATATAGATAACCAAAAGGAAATATGCTTAAATGAAATGGGGTTTAACGTCCTACTGTTCTGTTCCGACTGGGCGAATGAAGACGGACATACGCCATACAGTGTGCTATGAGGGAAATTTTGCATGGACAGCGGCACTACGGCCTACTCTTATATCGAATTCCAACTGACAGGGGATCTTTTACGTGCACGCCACGTAAAGAGCTGACAGTTCTCATTATAAAAGTTAAACTATAGATAATGAAACAGGAATATGCTGAAATTCTAGTCAAATTTCTTCAGTCTGAGTGCAATTATTGTCATTTGATGAATAGTGTAGTCTTGATTGTCATTGCTACCATTGTTAAGATAATAAACCTAGTCTTGATTATCCATTTTTGAATTAAATTATTAACTATAAATGGTGTTGAAATACATTGAAAAACAAAAGCATCCGATGATCGATTAATGTATCTTTAATGATTTATATAAGATTTGAAGCCACACAAAAATCTGCATTAATCAGATTTAGCTCTTACATAATACATCTTTTATGAGCATTCGTCGGTGAACTGTCAAAAGGGTGTATCTAAGAATTACTAAAAATTAAAAAATAGAACCTTTTGCATTTCAAAATTTCCACAAATCAAGTTACAACATTTGGACACATGATACTCAGAACAGTTCTAATTGGCGTAGAGATACACAGCTTTGACAGAAATGTTCATATTAATTGGGAGAGTTTATAAATGCAAAAAAGTGAGTTTGACTAATTTCCCGAGATGCACCCTTTTAACACTTCACCGACGAATATGTATTATAACATTTTCAAAATACATACAACAAGAAATTGTGGACGACAGACGGACCCACGAGGGTGACAGCAATATAAGTCCACATTTTCATGTGGGCGTATAAAAATAAATTGAAATAGGGTTTAGCATCCTAGTCTTCAAATGGGACGAAAAAAATGGGGGCATGTGCATTTCTATATAAGGGTAGGCCATTGCGTCCCTGTATTGGCAAAATTTCCCTTATAGCACACTATATGATGCAGGTCCGTCTTCATTAGCCTAGTTGGAGTAGACAAGTAGGTCGTTAAACCTAGCCCAGTCAGAGCAGAACAGTAGGACATTAAATGCCATTTTATTTATTAAATTAACAATGATTATAATAGTAATATCCATAGGATAGAACAAAGAGAGGGAAATGGGGTTTAACATCCACAGGTGGACCCAGACAAAACACACGAGGTTGGACAGGAAACCCTACTCCTTGTCACGTACAACCGGGATATCGAAACCATGCCAGTTGACACAATGACAGACCTTAATACAACGTGCACGTGCTAAACATTCGGCCATCCACCCCCCCACCCCCACAAGATAGATTAGTGATTCTCAACCAGTGTGCCACGAAATTGAAATTAAGAACAGCACACTAAGAAAATGTGAAATACCATGTGATACCAATTGAGTATTCACTGGTGTCTACTGTGTTTTTCTTTATTTAGTTTGAGTCATTCTATGTGTCTATGACTAGTCTGTGTCTACCGTTGTATTCCGTCTATGACTTGCCATGTTTTTATTTTGCAAATTTCAAATATTTTTCATATATATATTTAGCCAGGTGTGCCGCTATTTTTTCATGTTTTCCAAGGTGTGTGTCGTTGAAGGTTGAGAAACACTGGGACAGATTAATATCTAAAGGGAGATAACTGTGTGTATACTCACTTTAGCAGTAGTAGATTTAATGTTTTCTATACTATCTATATTGTTGATACAATTCTGAGGTATATTTTTACAAGCAGTCCGTAGATAACCCCAAAAATGAAGTGTTTCAGCTCCTCCATACCAGTTCTTCTGAGCTAAATACAAAAACGATTTTAATTGAATTATTCTTGAAAACTTGGAACATGAAAATCAAATGAAATGGGGTTTAAAACTCTCTTGTTTTTCTAAGACTGGGCTAAGACGGAGGTCCTGTGTTCGATCCCTGTATTGGCAGTAATGTTCATCAGGATTTTCTGGCATGGTTCTCCCTTGTCAATGTTGTAGGGCGGCGCCGCGGGACTGGCAAGGCAAATGTATAGTTGTTTCATTGGGATGAGAAACCAAGGTCCCGTGTACACATTGGCGTGCACATGAAACAACCCTTGACAGTTGGAATTCAATAAAAGAGAAGGCCGTAGTGCCGGTGTCTGGGCAAAATTTCTCTCATAGCACACTGTATGGCGTATGCCTGTCTTCATTAGCCCCGTCTGTGCAGAAAAGTAGGACATTAAACCCCATTTCATTTCACAGGTCAATTCTGTTGTTATTTTCTGAAAATATTTTTCATAAATCCATTGTTACGACATATAGAACATACTTACGTTTGATTTGATGTAGAAGAATTTGTTCGAGGTTGGCGGTAAAATTAATCAACTCTTCACAACCGTCATCTATATTGGAGAAACAGGCTTTATCAACCAGACTCTTTATACTTAAACTATAAAAACAAAAACAGACTCTATCAACCAGACTCTTTAAACTGAAACTATAGAGATAGAGAGAGAGAAATGGGGTTTAACATCCACTCGACACAAACTAGGTCATTTTGGGACTGACACATGGTTCAATCTTATTTCAATAATTCGCTTGCGTGTAGGGGTCTTTAGCAGTGGACAGAAACCGGAGGACCTGGGAAAAACCCACGAAGTCAGACAGGCGACCCTACTTCTTGTCATGTACAACCAGGCATCAAAACCATGCCAGTTAAACATGCATTATGCAAGAGCAAAATCTGCTTATTACAAGTCTTTCTTTAGGCCTGAAATGTTATCTAAATTATCAATTAGACATTAATTAACTTATTCAGACCAATAAACTCTCGATGTCAAGGCTAGCCTTCCAGGTTGGCTGGATTAGATTCCTATATGCCGCGGCGCTAACGGCCGTTGATAATTAAATCAGAAAAAGTGGATAATCGAGACTATGCTGTTTATATTAATGATTTTAGTAATGATGACCAAGACTATGCAAAAATTTCACCCACTTTTTTCTCGGCTCATAGTGGATCAATTTGACTGAAATTTTCAGCAAATTACCTTTACACTATTTAGTTTTTAACTATTATAGCGAGAACTGCCATCTCTTTATCTTATCTCCCATATTGATAACGTATCTTTAATAATTTTGACTGGATACACCAGACCAGAGTGACCAAAGAAGGGAATTTCCCATGGAGTGATCGATCCAACAAGGGAATTCCCATGACCAGATGTACCTGCTACTGGATACTCCTTAGTTATTGACCCAAGAAGGGAATTACCCATGACCAATCACACTTGTGACTGGATGCTCGAGTGATCGACCCTAAAAGGGAACTCAACATGACTTGTCATACTTGTGACTGGATGCTCGAGTGATCGACCCTAAAAGGGAACTCAACATGACTTGTCATACTTGTGACTGGATGCTCGAGTGATCGACCCTAAAAGGGAACTCAACATGACTTGTCATACTTGTGACTGGATGCTCGAGTGATCGACCCTAAAAGGGAACTCAACATGACTTGTCATACTTGTGACTGGATGCTCGAGTGATCGACCCTAAAAGGGAACTCAACATGACTTGTCATACTTGTGACTGGATGCTCGAGTGATCGACCCTAAAAGGGAACTCAACATGACTTGTCATACTTGTGACTGGATGCTCGAGTGATCGACCCTAAAAGGGAACTCAACATGACTTGTCATACTTGTGACTGGATGCTCGAGTGATCGACCCTAAAAGGGAACTCAACATGACTTGTCATACTTGTGACTGGATGCTCGAGTGATCGACCCTAAAAGGGAACTCAACATGACTTGTCACACTTGTGACTGGATGCTCGAGTGATCGACCCTAAAAGGGAACTCAACATGACTTGTCATACTTGTGACTGGATGCTCGAGTGATCGACCCTAAAAGGGAACTCAACATGACTTGTCATACTTGTGACTGGATGCTCGAGTGATCGACCCTAAAAGGGAACTCAACATGACTTGTCATACTTGTGACTGGATGCTTGAGTGATCGACCCTAAAAGGGAACTCAACATGACTTGTCATACTTGTGACTGGATGCTCGAGTGATCGACCCTAAAAGGGAACTCAACATGACTTGTCATACTTGTGACTGGATGGTCCTGAGTGATTGACCCAAAAAGGGAATTCCCATGACTAGTCATACTTGCCACCGGAGGCTCCTGAATGATGAATCCAAGAAAGGAAATCCTTATGACAAGTCATACTTGAGACTGGAAGCTCCTGAGTGGTGAACCCAAGACAGGAATTTCCAATGAACCAACATACTTATGACTGGAGCCTTCTCTGAGTGATCAACCCAAAAAAGGGAATTCGCCATGACCAATATACTTGTCTATGGAAGCTCCCAAGTGATGAGGGGGGTGGATGGCTGCATAGTTAGCATGTGCGCGCTGGATCATAAGGTCTGTCATTGAGTCAATTGGTGTGGTTTCGATTCCCCAGTTGTACGTGACAAGGAGTAGGGTCGCGTGTCCAACCAGTCGGGTTCTCTCTCTGTACTCCGGTTTCCTCCCACTTCTAAAGACTCTTAAGCCTACGCACAAGTGAATTATTGAAATAAAATTGAACCATTTGTTATGGAATGATTTACCCGACAGCTTAAAATACTCTAACCCTCAGGATAGTTTTAAATAAGAAATCACTTAAAACATATCTTTTCCAAATATGAAATGAAATGAAATGGGGTTTAACGTCCTACTGTTCTGCTCCTATACTGGGCTAATGAAGACAGGCATACACCATACAGTGTGCTATGAGGGAAATTTTGCCCAGGCAGCGACACTATCGCCTACTCTTATATCGAATTCCAACTGCCAAGGGATCTTTTACGTGCATTCTAATGTATACACAAGACCTCGGTTTTTCATCTCATCCGAAGGACTAGACAGCTGTCCTTGTCATAGGCCCTACGTTCTGCACCACTGACAAGGGGAAACTACGTCGGAAAATCTTTTCCAAAAGACAATATACTATATTTATATTCTTGTACTGTACAAGTTGTACATATTAAATTATTTATTTTAATTGTACAGTGCCATTGAATGTATATATTGCAGTAATGTGCGCTATATTAAATGTAATAAACTTAAACTTATCCCCAAAATGACCTAGTTTGTGTCGAGTGGATGTTAAGCTAAGAAGGGAATTCCCCATGACATGTTAGATACTGGAAGCTCCGGAAGTGATGAACCAAAGAAAGGAAATGGAAATCCTTATGACTAGTCAGTAGGAAGAAATTGCGACTGGCTGTTTCTGAGTGACCCACCCAAAAAGGGAAATTCCCTAGGCCTAATCCATCAGTATAGGAAGTGCATATTCATATTCAAACAAATGAATCTTGTTGTGGTTTTAGCCAGACATAACATCCACCCAGTTCCACGCTACACGTATTTAGTTACATACCAACTACAATGGTTATTTTAATTATCTAATTTGTTTTATGGAAGTAATAATAATTATATAATGCCTTTATTATGGTCGAATCTATTTCTTCCTGTCCAGGCCTACATTCGATGAGCTAATTTTAAAACCATAAAAATAAAAATATCTTCAACTTTATCTTATCTAATAATTTTACTGTATGTTCAATTATGTTGTCCACATTTGTCATTTGATAAAACTTTAAATATAGGTGACAGTTATTAGTGATATTTGAAAAATGTGATAACTGTGGTTCACTTTGTTTACTTTTCGTGAACTGTAAACACGAAACACATTTTAGTGCAAGGAGTCTGAAACTTCCAGTGCACATTGCGTTCCGCGTGACAATCAAAAATAGAACATAAAAACAAATAAATTACACAATGACGTAAATATCGTGTTTCCTGTGAAATACATACCTACAGACAGACACCAAATTCCTCTTCGCTACGTCAATTTTTCGATTTGCTAGTGTCTTGTAATAGGGAATGTTTTGGTCCATTTTTGTTGGGAAGATGAAGACCCCTCTCGTCTCAGCAGAAATTATCTATAGCCATACGTCATATGATATTTTGACTCGGTCAATAAGCGTCCTTCACCTTCATCTTGACCCATTTAATGACCTAGTTAATCAACTCCAGTAGGGTCGCTTCCCTTGGGTCTAATGGTGAGTTTGGTACTCTGGCGTGTTGGCTTGCTAATTTCCATACATTGCTAGTGGAACTTTTTCAATTTAAACAAGAATGAATTCCAAAATCCTAATTATTATACTTTGAAACATTTTAGATTAGAGATTAATAGGGCAATACCTCACTTTGAGTATTTCTACGTGCAGTCAGTGCGCATGTGTTAAGGAATATTGGAGGAAAAAGTAGGGAATACAACGACACGGAACCGAAAATAGCTTTTTATTTAGGCGCCTTAAAATGGAATTTATTGATAAATTTGATATCCCATAGCAGTAGAAATGTATTTTAAATAACTGTTTTGCTCAGAAGACATTTAGAAGTAAACGAAGGTAAATTTCTTCCGTATTTCTGGACAATGTACCGACTTTTGGCTGCCTGGCTGTTTCATTTTTTAGTACACTTGACTCTTTATTTTTACCGCATAAAACCCGACCTCTAATTAATTCCTTTATATTATTAACCCATTAAAAAGGGTCTGTTGGTTGAAATCTCTGTCCTTTTTGCTGTTTGTCACATTAGACTATCCTGTAATGATATTCAAAGTCATTCAACCTTATAAAGACAATGCGTGTCGGGACGGGTCAAATATTTTGAGTTCAGAATTCATTTTTATACTGAACGAACGACGACCTAACAGTACAGCACACTTTCGAGCAGACGAATTCGACGAGTTCATTTCCATTCGAGGGGGTCAACTATTTTCTTGTCTTAAAGTAGCCATTCATCCATTTAATTGAAGAATAGATTTCTAGAAAGACAGACTCATTTCATTTATTAGTAGGCTATCGACAGTGATTTGGAAATGAAAAAAATAACACAGCAGAACACTCTCTGAACAGTAAACATTTCTCTGCTGTTGTTAGTATTATTATTTCTTGTTGAAATACATAAGTGCACCAATATTTGTACTTCAGCCTGAGAGTGAGACTATTTGGCATTCATGTTTTATGTGACTCCCATTTTTGTGTTATATAGGTTTAATCTTAAATACCTGACCCTTACCCTAATCCTAATAGAAAGTAGGAAGTTCCATGTGGACCACAGTGTAAAAGTGATGGAAAGAGAAAAGGGTGTCAGATCAAACATGATTGCGGAATATTTCTCTTCTTGCTTCTGTACATCAAGTTCTACAGTGTAAGGAGTTTTGTATACAACACACAACACAACAGATTGAATCCTCGATTTGACTGACACTTGCTGTTCAGAAAGTTCAGATTTTTTATTTTTAACAGTTGGCAATGACCAATGTCGTTGTCCTGCCCGTGTTGGTCTATAACTTCCTAGATGATGGCCCCTGATTGTACAAAAAAATCACGATTTTAAAAACTGTTTAAATATATTACCGCTACACCTTAATGATGGTTGAGTTTGTGAGAATTCAACCGAAACTGCCTGACAAAATTCCCACTCATTGTAGTAAATAGTGTAAAAGTATGTAATACAATGGTTTTTGACCCTCTAGAAGTCACAATTTTTATCCAATTTTAATGAAACTGGAAATGTATGTTTATAACCCACAGATCTTGGTTCCTTTTGTTATTCATGCATATCAGACCATAAAACCCTGGATTATGACCCCTGATTGTACAAAAAACTGACATTATTTTTTTAGCTCGTTCTCTGTCCATCTCTTGAAAAATATGAGCGTATCTTGTACATCTGCTTGTTTATAATCTTAATTATTTTCATTTGCTTAAATACTCAACAAAAACGATATGTCCAATTGTTTCTAATATTTACATGGGGGTTGGATGGCCAATTGGTTAGCACATGCGCGATGTATCATAAGGCCTGGCATTGAGTCAACTGACGTGGTTTCGAAAGTTCGAATCCCCGGTTGTACGTGACAAGGAGTCGGGTCGCCTGTCCAACCTCGTTGGATTTCTCCGGGTACTCCGGTTTCCTCCCACTACTAAAGACCCCTACGCGCAAGCGAATTATTGAAATAAAAATAAAATGAAACCATATGTTAGTTCTGAAATGACCTAGTTTGTGTCGAGTGGACATTAAACCCTATTTCTCTCTCCCTTTCTCTAGTATGTACATTCGCTGACATCAAACAAAACCTGCACAATTTTACAGTTTAAACATACATGTACATCATGCAAGAGCTAAATCTGCTTATTGCAGGTCTTTCTTTTGGCCTGAAATGTTATCTAAATTATTAATTAGACATTAATTAACTTATCCAGACCATAATCAACTCTTGATGTCATCCCTAGCCTGCGATATTTACTGGATTAGGATCTGGTTTGCTGCTCAGCTTTCATTCATGATTAAATAGATACTCGAGACCGTTTTTTATTGTACTGACTTCAGTAATGATGATCGAGGCTAGGCCAAAAATTGAATCGATATATTCTCGTTTTACATTGGATCAATATGACTGAAATTTTCAGCAAATTCCCTTTACATTATCTAGTTTTTAACTATTACAGTGATAACTGCCAGCTCTTTATCTAATCTCCCATAATGTATCTATAAGTATAGTATAAGTCATAGGCTTAAGATCAGATTAAATTAATATTGATCGTTTAAAGTTGAATTAATAGGCTTTTTTTTTTAAGGCGATCATCATGATATGTTAAATAAATACTGGTATTGTTACATCTAATTAGGATTTTAATTTATAGCTAATTCACTGCATCTGTGTAACATCAGTGAACGGAAACGGGTGACGTGACAATAATGAATAGATTAAAATTGTTTAGATAATAAATCATTGGAAATAAGTGGATGTGATATCGTTTTTTTGGGAGGGAGGGGGGATGGCCGAGTGGTTAGCACATGCGTACTTTTGGGACTAACACATGGTTCAATTTTATTTCAAGAATTTGCTTGCACGTAGGGTTCCTTAGCAGTGGGAGGACCCGGAGAAAACCCATGAGGTTGAAATGGCGAGCCTACTCTCATGTACAACCGGGGAATTGAAACCCCGCCAGTTGACTCAATGACAGACCGTATGATGCAGCACGCGCACATGCTAACATTTCAGCCATCCCCCCCCCCCCCCTTATTGCGAGCGAAGATATTAGCCTTTGAAGGTTTGACAAGACGTGCAATAATTTCATCCACCGTACTGGTTGGCTCGCTAAGTCTCCCTCTTCCATTTTTAGCGTAAATCAAAATATGGCTGAACTGTTCTAATCTATTTAATATCGGAGAAATCTGATGCCATCGAAAGTTGATTATGGTCTGGATAAGTTGATTAATGTCTAATTAATAATTTAGAAAACATTTCAGGCCTAAAGAAGAAAGACCTGCAGTCTCTGGAGCCCATCCAGCTGGCAGAGAGGCAGTTAGACTTCAGTCCATAAAGCCCATAAAATTAGTCTTGGTTTTCCGGCATCAGATTGAATTCGATTGGAAAAGAGAATTTGTGTTCCAAGGCATTTGTATTGTATTATCAGTTCTGAAAATAACGGTTTTAGATGTACCGGTACCTGAAAAAATGTCAGGCACTAATGATATAGTACCTGAAATTTTCAACTTAGTGCCGGACATGTATATATAATATCAATAAAAAAGACAAATTAGTGCCGGACAAAATGACAGGCACCAGAGGTTTTGTGCCTGACAAAGCCTGAATCTGTGCCTGACATTGTCAGTGACCTGTGTATTATATTTTATCAAAAATTATTTTCTTTTCTTTTCAGATCCTGCGTTATCTTTTATTTTTTTTGTCTCCAGTGAATTATTTCAACCGACATCCTGGATCGTGAAGTGATCTCTCCTGATAATTCGAGGATGGCCGTATGTCGTACCTCGACCCCTCCTCCACCAGAGGTCACTTGTCCTATTGCTGAGAATTGGTGCTATACTCAGGTAAGTCGTCCAAACCTTTAAAAAATAAAATACGGGGCTTCAGCGCCTCAGAGAGTAAGACACTGGTTCACTCTCCTGGGTCGTCAACCCAGCAAGTTCCTCAGTAAGTCCACAAACCCTTTTCAAAGTACAGTGCTGCAGTGGCTCAGTGGGGCACTGATTCACTGACCAGTGTCCTGAAGGTCTCGATTTCGATCCTGGCGTCAACCAAGGTAGTTTCTCAGTAAGTTCACAAACCCTTTTCTAGGTAACATACAGTGGCTCAGTGATAAAGGCGCTGGGTTGCTGACCAGGACGTCTCGGTTTCGTTCCCGGTGTCAACAGAGAAAGTTCCTCAGGATTTTTTGGCGTGTTTTCTCCTTCTCCTTGTCATTGGTACTGGTGCAGGAACAGGATGTAGATTTTGTTCAGATGTGAAACCAAGGTCCTGAGCACATGTGCACGTAAGCAGCCTTTTTATTGGTTGTCTGATGCTCAACTATCTTGATATGCAAATGCCACAGTTGCTCAGGGAGTAAGGTGTTTGCTCGATGATCGGAGGTCCCGAGTTCAATCCCTGCATTAGCAGAGAAAGTTTGTCAGGATAGGATGGAGAGCCTGGCAAAGGGATAATGTATAGTCCTTAGGATGGGACGGCAAACAGAGTTCCCTTGTACACATTGATGTACACAAAGAAACCGTTGGCAGATGGAATTAAATTTAAGAGTAGGCTGTACTGCTGCTTTCCAGGCACACTGTATGTTTGTCTTCATTAGTCCAGTCAGAGCAGAACAGTGGGACATTAAAGACCATTTCATTTGTCATTGATGCCACGTTGTATCATAGGGTCTGTCATTAAGTCAACTGGTTTCGATACCCCGGTTGTACGTGGGTTTTCTTAAGGTGTTCAGGTTTCCTCCCACTGCTAAAGACCCCTACACGCAAGCGAATTGTTGAAATAGAATTGAACCTTGTATCATGCTACCACATATTGACAATTTATTGATATAAAATGTTTCTGTTCTATTTCCAGGTAAAAGTGATCAAATTCTCATACATTTGGACAATCAATAATTTTAGTTTTTGTCGAGAAGAAATGGGAGAAGTTCTGAAGAGTTCCACATTTTCAGCTGGGGCTAACGATAAATTAAAATGGTAAGTCGCGTTATTTCTCTTTTCATTTCATCGTCTGTAATTTATAATGTAAAGAAGCTATGACTGGCTGAAAGGGTTAATTGGGATTGTCCAGCGTTGGGGATTTTCCCCCTTGTCAGTGACATAGGAAAAAGGGCCTGGCAAAGACCAAGAACTCAGTCTACTCATGGATGGGATAAAAAAATAACATGAGGTCCCAAGTTTTGGCTAGTACACGATAGTCACATCTACACATTGACTTGCACCTAAAATATCCCTTGACAGTTGGAATTCAATAGAAGAGTAGATCGTAGCCTCCATCTGGCTAAAATTTCCCTCATATCACAGAGTATTTTGTACATGTATGACCATATACATTTAATAGCCCAGTCAGAGCAGAACATTTGGACGTTAAACAACAATTCACTTCACCTGCACTGGATGCTGAATAATGAAATATTTTCAATTCACCATATTTTTGTCAATTCTGATTTGAAATATTTTTGGGCTGATATTCTTACTAGATTAAACTTCCAGAATATTGTAGTTTTCAACGGATTTACAATCCCTCAAGATATGATGTTCAAAATGTTCTAGAAAGAGAGAGAGAGAGAGAGAAATGGGGTTTAGCGTCCACTCGACACAAACTGTTTCATTTTGGGACTAACAAACAAATGGTTCAATTTTATTTCAATAAATCGCTTGTGCATAGGGGTCTTTAGCAGTGGGAGGAAACCGGAGGACCCGGAGAAATCCACGAGGTTGGACAGGCGACCCTACACCTTGTCACGTACAACCATTTGGCCATCCCACCCCCCTTCAAAATGTTCTAGGTACATGTACATATTATAATTCTGTGTTTTCCAGGTATTTATTGTAATTCTGTTTTGTTCCAGGTACATGTATTGTAATCATATATTGTTCTAGGTGTTTATTGTAATTCCATATCGTTCCAGATGTTTATTGTAATTCTGTATTGTTTCAGATGTTTATTGTAATTCTATCTATTCCAGGTGTTTGCGTGTCAATCCAAAAGGTTTAGATGAAGAAAGTAAAGAATACTTATCTTTATATTTACTCCTTGTCTCGTGCAATAAAAGTGAAGTACGGGCCAAGTTTAAATTCTCCATACTCAATGCAAAAAGAGAAGAAACCAAAGCTATGGGTAAGCTGGATATCTTTCTTCTTTTTATACGCTCACATTTTCATGTGGACGTATTATGCCGTCTGTCTGTCCGTCCGTCCAAATTGTTTGTGGACTCTCTACAGGTCACAATTCTTATCCGATTTTGACGAAACTTGAAATATAGGTTTATCCCCAAAAGATCTCGGCTGCTTTCGATATTGGCACGTATCGGATCAAAACTTCATGGATTATGGCCCCTGATTGTACGAAAAATCACGTTTTTAGCTTGTGGACCCTATAGAGGTCACAATTTTTATCCGTTTTTTTTAAAACTTGAAATGTAAGTTTATAACCCAAAGATCTCAGTTCCTTTCGATATTCGCGCATATCGGACTGTAACTTCCTGAATTATGGCCCCTGATTGTACGAAAAATCGCGTTTTTAGCTTGTGGACCCTATAGAGGTCATAATTTTTATCCGATTTAAAAAAACTTATTATTATATCACCGTTACACCCTAAGGACGACTGAGTTCGAATTTCGTGAAAATCGGCCCAAAATTGACAGACAAAATGGCTGCCGTTCGTTCTCAAATAGCGTAAAAAATATGGTACATGTATATCAAGGTTGTGGACCCTATAGAGGTCACAATTTTTATCCGATTTTGTTGAAACTTGAAATGTAAGTTTATAACACAAAGATCTCAGTTCCTTTCGATATTTGCGCATATCGAATTGTAATTTCCTGAATTATGGCCCTTGATTGTAGGAAAAATCACTTTCTTGTTAGCTTGTTCTCTATCCATCTCTCGAAAATGTGGGCATATCCTGCCTGGCAGCCGCTGGTTTTATATACACCCACAGTTTTATATGAATATTTGCCTACTATGCTGTTGCCCCTGTCCATGTTTTTGAATTGATTTCCTGAGAGAAGTTATAGTCTATTGTTTTTCTAAATGCCATTGAAGAAGTGGCTCATATTACATCAATTTGTGTTTTTTGACTGAGTGCAAGACGAAGGACCTGCTGTCTAGTCATTCGGATGGGACGAAAAACCAAGGTCCCGTGTACGCATTGGCGTGGATGTAAAAGATCCCTTGGCAGTTGGAATTCGATATAAGAGTAGGCTGTAGTTCTGCTGTCCAGGCACAATTTCCCTCATAGCACACTGCATGGCGTACGTCCGTCCTCATTAGCCCAGTTGGAACAGAACAGTAGGACTTTAAACCCCATTTTATTTTTGACCCGTCTTCGTCTATTTTAGGTTCCTGAGATTTAGCCCCTTTAAAAAAAAAAACTTATTGTGTTAATCCCAAAATAACCTGGTTGGGCTGTAAAAGGATGGTTTATATTAGAATTGTCCATATTACTGGACCCATGGTAGGGCTGTACGATATTCTCGATATAGTCATTTATCGCGATATGGTATTTTCAGACCCAACACGATATCATGTGGCCAAAAATCGTCGAAAAAAATTATCATAAAAATAGATAATAAATACACTATACAGCAGTGGAAATTAGTCGACGGCAATAAACTATAATAAAACTAATGTTTTGAGAATCGTTAAATGTTGAAAACACTTGCGCAGTGTCCGTGGCCGTTTTTCACTGCATCGTGTATGTGTTACTTTTACTTTGTTTTTAAATTTTAGTCGACAATAAAATGTCAGTTGTTACTACATGTAAAGCTTAGGCCTACTAAACGCCTGAAATTTTCCACTACCGCGGCTAATTACTAGGCTATAAATAGGTTGTCATATTTTAAAAAAAAAAGAATATTTTTAGAAAACTCTACGAAACTTAATTTCTGAAATCAAGAATAAAACGATCTATAAATAGATTACTGTCACTGTTAGGCCAGGAGTACCGCAGCCAATCGAATGCTTAAATGGAAGATAGTCCGGATCATTTAGTATTTGTTAAACTGTTTGAACTTACAATATAAGACTTGAAGACCACATCTACTTACTTCCGCTGCAGGTGATATTTGAGAATTTTCTTACACAAGGTCACAAGCAGATGCTTTTGAAACATCAGTGGTTGTATTTAATTTTTATCCGAAATGGATGTTGTTTTGTTCATTTTAATAGATTTATATTATAAAAAAAGCAAAGTTTAAAGTGTATGAATAAAGCAATTCTTACCCACAATTATTACTCACACTGTAGTCAGTTTTAATGCATTTATATTTAAATTATTTAATAGCAAAGTGAAATTATTATTAAATATCACGATATTTAACTATATCGTTGAAAAAATTGCCAATATCGATATCGTCCCTTTTTGCAATATCGTACAGCCCTAACCCATGGTGCTTCATTGAGTAAGGTGTTGACTCAATAACACGTGGGTTCTCAGTTCGGTCCCTGTATTGACCAAAAAAGCCCCCTGGAAAAACCATGGTCCTATCTCAGTGCACACATTACAGGTAAATAGGATTAAAAAAAAAAAAGAGTAGGTCATAGCGATGCTGTCAGGTCAAAATTTGTCTCAAAGCACACTCTATGGGGTCTTGCTTAGTCCGTTAGCACCAGCGAAATTATTTGACATTATATTTCATTGTTTTATTTTATTATAGAAAGTCAGCGTGCTTATAGATTTGTCCAGGGTAAAGATTGGGGGTTTAAGAAATTTATTCGAAGAGATTTTTTAATGGATGAAGCTAATGGTTTACTTCCCGATGATAAATTAACCATATTCTGTGAAGTAAGTCTACGTTATTTTAACTTTATTTATATTTTGTTTTAGTGGATTATTAAGGTTGATTTCATTTGAACATGCATTATGCATGAGCTAAATCTGCCTATTGCAGGTCTTTCTTTAGGTTCGATTTCCCGGTTGTACGTGACAAGGAGTAAGGTCGCCTGTCCAACCTCGTGGGTTTTCTCCGGGTCCTCCGGTTTCTCCCCACTGCTAAAGACCCCTACACGCAAGCGAATTATTGAAATAATATTAAACCATATGTTGGTCCAGATATGACCTAATTTGTGTCGAGTGGACGTTAAACTCTCTCTCTCTCTCTCCTTACTGTTGACTTGTATTTTATATTTTATGTTTTAATGTTGTAGGTAAGTGTAGTGGGTGATACGGTGAATATATCAGGCCAGTCCAACTGTACACCTGTCAAAGTACCCGAATGTAAATTAAGCACGGATCTCGGGGCGTTATTTGAAAGATCGTTAGCGAGTGATGTCGTTCTCTGTGTTAATGGAAAAGAATTTCAAGCTCATAAAGCTATTTTATCAGGTAAAACAAGTTTTATCAACTCCGGTGTTTGTTTTTTTTTAGTCATCTTGTTCTTTTTCTTGAGGGCGACGTGCTGTTAAAAAGCCTATGGAATCGTTAGTTCAAGTGAGATCGACATGAAACTTGGCATGCTTGTTCCTTTTACATTGATGGACAGGTTTTGATTTTTGATATGACATCACACATCCAAGATGGCGATGATAATGTGATGCTAGGTTCCTGGTAGAAATAGGGGGAGAATTTTCTTTTTGTGGTGGTGTACAGGGCTGCCGACAACCAGTATCGCAGCGCAATTTGCGATACATATTTTGTCCGTTGCTAACCAAAAATTAAAATCTAACGTTTTTACTGCGAATCATAAATATGCCTGTCATTTTGGATATTGACACAAGAATAATCCACATTTTGAAGACTAGAAGGCTTACTCAACACTTTCAACGTTTATAAAATGTTGAATAAAATTTTATAAACAAAACTGAATTCTCCGCATGACATTTTCTTCTCGAACTACCCAGACACAATACTATATAACACAGGGACATAACTCTATGAATAGGGACTATTAAACCGGAAATAGGGAATCAAGTAGTACCACTCACATTGCGAGACATCAAGTAATTATATCATATTCATTTTGAAAGAAATAAATCCTGTGTATCCCCCACGCATTGTAAATAAAATATAAAAAAATAAATACATGTTAACGTATTGTAAAATGATAAATCAAAGTAAAAATTCCTGTAAAATATTATTGTTTATATCGCGTGTGTCTAGTTAATCGAGGTGCGCCCGATTGAACAAAAATAGTAATACAATACACGATAAAAAGCAGACAAATTGTTTTCTAACGAAGATTTCTAACGTAACAAAAAATAACAATTAAATTGAGTGGAGCTTCGGAAGTCACTGTCAAGAATTGGCTTCAGGCAGAAGACCTCAATAAATGTCTACATCACATTCACAAACTGTCACAAGTACTTGTGGCAGTGCTAAAAAATCTAAGAATTTAAAGAATAGTCAGAATGGAATCTAATCATATTTGTTATGAATTAAAATAATATCTTGTTATTTAGGTGTTTTACGTTGAAACTGAAAAACTGCTAATCAATTTTTAAATTTGCTAATCAAATTTGGCAAAATTGGACTTTTTGATTAGCAGTGCTGCTGATCAACTGTTAAAAATTACCGACAGCCCTGGTGGTGTAGAATCAGAAATGTGGTCGTATATAACCTTCGCCCCTGTCCATCGTTCTGTTCATCTGGCATCCACAATTGCTTGTGGAGGGGAGCCACGGTGGCTAGTTGGTTAAGACGCTGGCTCGCTAGTCTGGAGGTCGGGTGTTCGATCCCTGCATTGTCCGAGAAAGTTCATCGGGATTTTCCGACGTGGTATCCCCTTGTCAGTGGTGCAGAACGGAAGGTCTGACAAGGACAGCTGTCTAGTCCTTCGGATGAGACGAAAAACCGAGGTCCCGTGTATACATTGGAATGCACGTAAAAGATCCCTTGGCAGTTGGAATTCGATATAAGAGTAGGCGATAGTGCCGCTGCCTGGGCAAAATTTCCCTCATAGCACACTGTATGGCGTATGCCCATCTTCATTAGCCCAGTATAGGAGCAGAACAGTAGGACGTTAAACCTCATTTCATTTCATTTCATTTTGCTTGTGGAGGATCTAGAGGTTAAAGTTAAATCCTATGTGTTTTGTTTTGTTTGGAGTCATTTAATCTGGTCAACATTTCCTTCATACATGTAGTGGGGGGTTGGATGGCCGAAAGGTTACCACGTTCGTGCTGTATCATAAGTTAAATCCTATGTGTTTTGTTTTGTTTGGAGTCATTTAATCTGGTCAACATTTCCTTCATACATGTAGTGGGGGGTTGGATGGCCGAAAGGTTACCACGTTGGTGCTGTATCATAAGTTAAATCCTATGTGTTTTGTTTTGTTTGGAGTCATTTAATCTGGTCAACATTTCCTTCATACATGTAGTGGGGGGTTGGATGGCCGAAAGGTTACCACGTTCGTGCTGTATCATAAGCTCTGTCATTAAGTCAACTGGCGTGGTTTCGATTCCTCGGTTGTATGTGACAAGCAGTAGGGTCGCCTGTCCAACCTTATGGGTTTTCTCTGGGTCCTCCGGTTTTCTCCCACTGCCAAAGACCCTTACGCGCAAGCAAATTATTGAAATAAAATTGAACATGTGTTAGTCCCGAAATGACCTAGTTTTTGTCAAGTGGACATTTAACCCCATTTCTCTCTTTCGGTGTCATACATGTAGCATATAATTATGCCTGTCTTCATTAGCCCAGGCGGAACAGAACAGTAGGACTTTAAACCCCATTGCATTCTTTCATTTGTCTTTTTTCTGTGTTGTTAAATTTTTACTGGTACAACATGTCTGCCGTATAATCTATGTCCAGTGATAGTTGCCAGATTTGATTTAATTTGTAATTGTGTTGTTATTGTAGCAAGATCTCCGGTATTTCAAGCCATGTTTGAATATTATTACTACCTAATTTATTGATGATATGAATTGATTTGATTTGTAATTGTGTTGTTATTGTAGCAAGATCTCCGGTATTTCAAGCCATGTTTGAACATGAAATGGAAGAGAGTAAACAGGTTTGTTATATTAAAGATATGATCTCGATGCATCGCTGATTCACAATTTACGATTCATCATTAAACATACATTATACGAGAGCTAAATCTGCCTATTGCAGGCCTTTCTTTAGGCCGTAAATGTTTTAAATTATTAGATATTAATTAACTTATCCAGACTATAATCAAAACTCGATGCCATCGCTAGCCTGCGATATTTACTGGATAATCGAGACTTATGTTTTTTATCGTACCGACTTTAGTAATGATGATTCAGGCTAGGTCTAAAATTAAATGGCTAATATCTTGGTCCAGAGTGAACCAATTTGACTGAAATTTTCAGCATGTTCGTTTTACGTTATCTATTTGTTAATTATTATAGTGAACATTGTCAGCTATTTATCTAATCCCCCATAATATCCTTTTAAATCTTGTTGTTTACAGAATCGTGTACCTGTTTTCATTAATCAGGGGATCACGTGGCTAAGTGGTTAAGACGCTGGCTCACTAGCCTGGAGGTCGGTTGTTCGATCCCTGCATTGGCCGAGAAAGTTCATCCAGATTTTTCGGCGTGGTTCCGCCTTGTCAGTGATGCAGGACGGAGGGTCTGACAAGGACAGCTGTCTAGTCCTTCAGATGAGACGAAAAACCGAGGACCCGTGTATACATTCGAATGCACGTAAAAGATCCCTTGGCAGTTGGAATTCGATATAAGAGTAGGCGATAGTGCCGCTGCACGGGCAAAATTTCCCTCATAGGAGCAAAACAGTAGGACGTTAAACCCCATTTCATTTCATTTCATTAATCATTGAAGAACAGTAGGATGTTAAACCCCCGTTTCATTTCATTTCAGAATCGTGTTGAGATCACAGATCAAGATCATGAAGTGATGAGAGAAATGTTACGTTTTACCTACACGGGAAAAGCTCCAAATCTCGATAAAATGGCGGATGAGTTATTAGCAGCGGCAGATAAAGTAAGTTGTCTAAAAATCTTATGCTTAAGCTTTATAAATATTCTCACACCCAAATTTTATTAAATAATGTTACACCCAAATTTTATATAAAAAAAAATATCTCGCGCCCAAGTTTTTTTAAATATCGCATGCCCAAGTTTTATACATAGTCTCACGCCCAAGTTTTATAAATATTCTCACACCCAAGTTTTTTTTAAAGATCTCACGCCCATTTAATACCATTTAATACCCTGTCCAGCTGACAGCATGACCTCCTCTAATAATCTGTCCGGTACGTTTGCCAATATTGATATTTTGTGAGAAACCATAATAATATTCTTTCAGTCCAGTCCTATTGTTACTGTTATTATTACGTGTTAATCTCAATAGGGTAGCCATGTGGGTTAAGTGAGTAAGACGCTGGCTCGCTAGCCTGGAGGTTGTGGGTTCTATACCGGTATTGACCGAGAAATTTCCTCTGGATTTTCCCGTGTGGTTTCCCCTTGTCAGTGGTGCAGTATAGAGGGCCTGACAAGGACAGCTGTCTAGTCCTTCGCACTGGACGGAAAACCAAATCCTATGTACACATTGGTATGCTCGTAAAAGATCCCTTGGCAGTTAGAATTCGATATAAGAGTAGGCTGTAGCGCTGTCCGGGCAAAACTTCCCCTCATAGTACACTGTATGGTAGGGCTGGCAATCGATCCTGTTTCAAGTATCGATTATCGTCGACCATCTGCCGATCGATAATCGATAATATCGGCAAATTATTTTGATTCTCAATTGGTTTGAATACAATCATAATTTGTACACAAATTATATGCGAGTTTATGCTGTGATATCATTCTGTATACATCTAGAAATTTTTTCATTTAATTGACATTTGACAATAAAATAATAGCATTCCATAGGAAAACCAAGGTGTAGAAAGAAACTCAATCAACTTCATTTGGAAGACGAAACCCGCCACCGCTAGCCATATCTTTGTCGCTTATGACCTGAATAATAATGAGTAAAATGTAGTTATTTCCCTTTGATCACATCAAACGAATTCTTCAGTTCGACGTAACAGTTTATTTCTTGCAGTGATTTCTTCGCCCTTGGGAAATTAAAAATCTTCTCTTAAGGGAAAGTATGTGTTTGACTTAGAAACAGAGAAGACGAAAGAAATGAAGAGTCAAAATAAGGGGCACAACTGGATGTTACGTTAAACCATTGGCTCTCATCATGACATAAGCAGCCAACATTTCTCACAGGTGGCGTCTCGCGTGAAAAAAACCCAAATGTGTGTGTTTTATTATGACTATTCTGTTTAATTACAGTTCTAGGCCCAAGCACACGTTGCAAAGAATACAGTGATAAGGTTTATTTTTATGGACTTCTTCTTGCAAGTGAAGTACCTATAATTGCTCGATAATCGATATTTTAAAACTGTATCGATAATCGATTTTCAAAACACTTACCGACGATTATCGGCAATTATCAATTATTTCTGCCAGCCCTACTGTATGCCATATGCCCGTCTTCATTAACCCAGTCGGAGCAGAACAGTAGGATGTTAAACCCCAGTAGATGTTTTATAATATATAATATTCCAACGTGGTTTCCCCTTGTCAGTGGTTCAGAATGGAGGGCCTGACAAGGACAGCTTTCTAGTCCTTAGGATGAAACAAAAACCAAGGTCCCGTATATATATTGGAATTCACGTAAAAGATCCCTTGGCAGTTGGAATATAAGAGCAGACGATAGTGCTGCTGCCCGGCAAAATTTTCCCCCATAGCACACAGTATGGCTTGTGCCCATCTTCATTAGCCCAGCATAGGAGCAGAACAGTAGGACATTAAACCCCATTTAATTTCATTTATAATATGATATTTTATATTACAGTATGCTTTAGACAGATTAAAAGTTATGTGTGAAGAAGCTTTATATTCAAGTTTAACTGTAGAAAATGTTTGTGAAATTCTAGTTCTTGCTGATTTACATAGTGCTGATCAACTTAAAACGCACGCTGTAGACTTTATTAACAGGTATGTTAAAATACACACTGTACACTTGATTAACAGGTATTTTAAACAAGCTGTAGACTTGATTAACAGGTATGTTAAAATACAAGTTGTTAGTCACATCAGTATTTTAGACTGGTTTGTAAATTACAATAAAGAGTAGGTTGTACTGTTGTAGTGCCTCTATCCAGACATAATTACCCTCATAGCACATCGTCTATAGCTTTTAAACCATTTCCTCTTTATTCTGTGACTGGTGCATAGCAAATATTGACAAATTGGAATTGAACCTTTTTTGGCACTGTAACCCAGGTATCATTTAAGCTTGTATATCTAGCACTAATTTCTTTTTATTTAAAAATTAACAACCCAATTGATTAATGATGTATAATGATTAATTTTTGAACAGCGGTCAGGAAATTAAAAACTTGTAAATTGGACACTCATTATCAAAATTAATCAGTTAGCTTTAAACCGGACCCAAGTACAAATAAGATGATTTTTATACTCCCACATTGAAATGTGGACGTATATTGCCGTCGCCCCCGTCCGTCTGTCCGTCCGTCCGTCCGTCCGTCCGTCCGTCCATCGTCTACAATTTCTTGTGAACGCTCTAACGCCAAAAGTTAAACGAATGTGAAAGAAATTAGTGCTAGATACACAAGATTAAATGATACCTGGGTTACAGTGTTTTGGACTGATACTTCTTTTAGAAATTAAACTGTTGCAAGGGATTCCTCATTCTCGGTATCCCCAGTGATATCGTTTCATCCTACTCCACTAACCTCTGGGTCCATCCACGAATTCAGATTATCTGCCCTTGCTCGTAGCTTGATTCTACGAACCAATCAGAAAACAGTTTACATATCAATCTTGGCATAATTGTTTACGTTCATCACAATAATCTTAGTTGCAATAAAATGTGAGTTACTCCCCTTCGCCCACTCGGTTGGTCGATAAAAATAGCAGAAGTATCAAGGTGGGATAATGTGTCTCCCCTGTGGATGGAGCCAGAGGCTAGTAGAGTAGGAAGGAGGGATACCGATAAGGGAGATTCTTCAATCTCTTTAATGACGACATTCAGAGACTTCAATATTGGGATTAGAAATCATATTTTGACAATCTGATTAAAACACAGATCCTATTTCGTTTTTTTTTTATGGTTCAAAATTTCATTTTATTTGTCTTTACTACACTAGGATCTTGAAGAATTGTTATATATCCTGCGTTCTGATTAATGTGAGGGATTAGCCAATGAAATGGTCTCTTACAGCTAGTTCTTGGCGTGCTTTGCAGAGAACTGTGGGTATCCCAGTAGAAACATCAACGCTGATTGGTTAATTAAAAATATGACGCCATAGGGTCAAAAGCCACTTGTATGACCCCTGACGTGACCTCATACTACAACTTGTCAGATCTTCATGTAGTGTAGGCCATCGAAAGTATAAAAGATAGGTTGCCAGGCAACGAAACATACGCCCACAGCAGCTAAATCGTCCGGGCAGTCAACAAGAGTTGTCGCATATTTTTACTTTTTTCGGTAATGAAACATTTATAATACACTTAAATCTGATTAAGAGCAACAACTCAGAAAACCATTAGAATTTGTTTGGTTTTTATAAAGTTCTGCCCCATGCTAACGTTTTGTATACAAAACTTTTAATACTGTATCATGGATTTAGCTATTCCAAGTCATAAAAATTCATTGAAAATCAATATACTTGTTCGTCTCAAGATCTTAAACTCTGTGTTTCAATCTGAAGCCAATCGGATATTAACTTTGGCCTCTAGAGCGTCCACTAGATTTTTCAAAGTGATCAAGGGCCATAACTTTGGGCAGTAATTATCAGAAATCTTTGAAAATCAATAGGGTTATTCGCCTTGTGACCTCAAACACTGTGTATAAATTTAAAGTCAATCAGATATTAACTTTAGCCTTTAGAGCATCCACAAGGTTTTTTGTTGAAGTGATCAAGGGCCATAACTCTGGCAGTAATTATCAAAAATCACTGAAAATGAATATACTTCTTCGTCTCATAACGTTAAACACTGTATAAAATTTAAAGTCAATCGGATATTAACTTTAGACTCTAGAGCGTCCACAAGATTTTTCAAAATGATCAAGGGCCATAACTCTGGCAGTAATTATCGTAAATTGCTGAAAATCAATAGGATTCTTTGTCTCATGACCTTAAACACTGTGTATAAATTTAAAGTCAATCGGATATTAACTTTGGCCTCTAGAGTGTCCACAAGATTTTTTGAAGTGATCAAGGGCCATAACTCTGGCAGTAATTATCGGAAATCACTGAAAATCAATAGGCTTCTTCGTCTCATGACCTTAAACACTGTGTGTAAATTTAAAGTCAATCGGATATTAACTTTGGCCTCTAGAGCGGCCACAAGATTTTTTGAAGTGATCAAGGGCAGTAATTATAGGAAATCGCTGAAAATCAATAGGCTTCTTCGTCTCATGACCTTAAACACTGTGTATAAATTTAAAGTCAATCGGATATTAACTTTGGCCTCTAGAGCGTCCACAAGATTTTTTGAAGTGATCAAGGGCCATAACTCTGGCAGTAATTATCGGAAATCGCCGAAAATCAATAGGCTTTTTCGTTTCATGACCTTAAACACTGTGTATAAATTTAAAGTCAATCGGATATTAACTTTGGCCTCTAGAGCGTCCACAAGATTTTTTAAAGTGATCAAGGGCCATAACTCTGGCAGTAATTATCGGAAATCGCTCAAAATCAATAGGCTTCTTCATCTTATGGCCTTAAACACTGTATATAAATTTAAAGTCAATCGGATATTAACTTTAGCCTCTAGAGCGTCCACAAGCAATTGTGGACGCCGGACCGACGGCCGGACCGACGGTTGGACGGGGAGACGACAATATACGACCACATTTCAATGTGGGCGTATAAAAACGAAACGAAATATAGATCTGGAGCCTTATTTACGAAAACTTTAACTAAAATATTTTAAGGATCCTGTCTTTTCAATGTTTGTTACTTAAAGGAGCTAAATCGCTAATATTTGGGACCTAGAAGTTGACCCAAATGAGTCGAAACACATATAATAATGTAATCTGAAACTGATTTACATTCAATTGTTTCTGTTTTGACTCTTAATTTTAAATCAGTTATGTCCAGCAAAATAAGGCATGTGTCTTAACCCTATAGCAATTTATAGTGTCTGGTTATTCCAGTCTATTAAGCAGGCTCTCCAGTTGAATATGTCTAGCCTCGTTCTTTCTTGTCACTTGTTGCAAATGACGTTAAAACGCATTATGGTACACGATTACTATACCAATGTTAAAATGTTTATTTTGTCTTAAATATTGGATATCAGAAGCCTGCCTTTTCCTGGTAAGATCACAACATCAATGTTGATTTGAATTGACAAATAATTCGTATTTTCAACGTGTAAGACTTTGGATGATATTGAATTAGAGACTTAGCTACTTTAAAATCCTGGTAAAATTTTTGCTTTGATCTCAAAATATTTTAGTTTAAGTTTTTGTGAATTAGGTTCCTGTATTTTAATCAGATTAGAATATTTTGATAAATCTGATAGTTAATATTTGATGTAACTGTGTTTCAGTCATGCAACAGAAGTCATGGATACGATGGGATGGAAAGCCATGGTCTCAACACATCCACACCTTATAGCCGATGCATTCAGAGCTCTCGCAAGTCAACAAAGTCCACCTCTCGGTCCCCCGCGTAAAAAGGTCAAGCAATCATAGAACCTGGTCAGAAACAAAGACTCAATCAATTGTGACAATATTAAACTAATCAAGCGTGAAAAATGGACGACGTACTTCAGTGAAAATACAAAAAAACAAAACAAACGAAGAGTGAATTAGATCGTGCGTGTGTGATATAAATGTCGATGACGTAATCGTGTAAAATGATACTGACGTTGTTGAAACAACAGGTGACAAATATATCCAGTGATCCCCCCTTCCCCTCCACGCCCCCTTTCCACCTTCTAACATGTGACATACCCCACCCCTCTCCCTCTAGACCTGTGTATATGTATGTATATTATTTATAAGACTATAATGTACAAGTATATATATATATGATCGACAATTTGTATTATATATATAGAGAGTGAGACTTAACTTCTGCTCGATGTGTTGATAATCTTATTATTTATTGTGCTATTGTGTCATATGGTGTGACGTCATAGTGACGTGCTATTATTACCGACGGCATGTTTTTCAGTTTTTACAGACTTGTACCTGTCACTTTCTACTTTTTATTTATATCTACGATGAAAATTTATTTACTGCACCGCGTTTTAGTTAGCAGGCGCTGTCAGTGACATTGTCACTTTGTGAATATGTTGATTCTGTGGCATTCAGTGTGATATACATATACAATTGACATTCGTCGCAAATTATAAAAATGTATTGTCTCAAATCGTGGTGAAGTGACGAATGAATTAGAGACTAGTGCATGAAAAAAAATCCACAAGAAACTGCAACAGAAATAATCAGTTTCATGTTTATTTCATTCCGGGCTGTAGAAACAGTATTCCTTTATTATTATTCTAAATTTAAAAAAATAAAAAGTGCTGCACATTTGCAAACCCAGCTCGTGTCTGACGGACAGATTTGGTTTGTTCTAAAAGTTCATGGAATAACTCAACATCCCAAATATGGTTGGGTTTCTTGCCATTGTGATGGATAACTTCGGGATCCTTAGTGTGGATAGAATTTAATTTCCGAAACTTTTATTACATGTAGCTCATCATGGGTTAATGTAAAGCGTTGTTACAAGCAACTCGTTTTGGGTTAATGTAAAACTTTATTACATGTAGCTCGTCATGGGTTAATGTAAAACTTTATTACATGTAGCTCATCATGGGTTAATGTAAAAAACTTGATTACATGTAGCTCTTCAGGGGTTAATGTAAAAACTTTATTACATGTAACTCGTTGTGGGTTAATGTAAAACTTTATTACATGTAGCTCATTGTGGGTTAATGTAAAATTTTATTACATGTAGCTTTTCGTGGGTTAGTCAATCACTGTAACCCGGGTATCATTTAATCTTGTGTATCTAGCCCTTATTTCTTTCAGATTCACATTCATTAAATATCAAATCTTCGTTTGAAATTCATTGAAATCAACCCAATCATCTAATTTGTACTTGTGTCCAGTTTGGTATAATACCTTGTTACAGGAGTAGCTCAAAATGGTTTTATCTCAACCTGTAGATACAGTGTAGTTCAAAATCACATAAAGAGAAAAACATTTGAATTACCACAGTTTAAGATCCTGTAAAATCAATTATTCTGTAGTTATTGGACAATCTGGTTAAAACACAGATCCTATTTCGTTTCGTTTTTTATAGTTCAAAATTTCGTTTTACTTGTCTTTACTACACTGGGATTTGGAAGAGTTGTTATATAACCCACATTCTGGATTATCCAATGAAACGATCTGTTATGGCGAGTTTTTGGTGTGAGGTGAACGGAACTGTGGGTAACCCACTTGAAACATCAACGCTGATTCGTTAATCAAATGTCTGACGTCAAAGGGTCAAAAGTCGCTCACATTACCCCTAACGCACCCTCCCGCTACAATTGGTCAGATCTTCATGTAGTAGAGGCGATCGGAAGTATACAAAAACGGAAAAAAACATAGATCTGGGGCCAAGTTCACAAAGCATTCTCAGACTTAAGTTAAGAATTTACTCAACTTTCAGTCAGTGTTTATGAGAAATATCTTTGGTGCAGAAAAACAAAACTTCGCACATAGTTTCTTATTGATGTATTTGATACAATAAAACAACAAAGGTTGTATAAAGAGCTATAGTTTAGTTAAAATAAGGCGAACAATTTTGAGTAAATTCTTAACTTAAGTCTGAGAATGTTTTGTGAACTCGAAGTCTGTATTTTAATCTGCTTGTCAGTTTCTGGATAGAGCAATACACTATGGCATATACTAATAAACAAATATATTTGACGTTTCGAAGCGTATTCTCTCAATGTACAAACCATACACATTTATTACTGTACTTTAGGGCTGGGTATTGCCACTGCATCACGATACGAAACGTATATTGCGATTCAGTTGCCAGGTCAATCAAGAAAACAAAAAGATAAATGAATAATTGATCTTTTTACTCCTGCCGATGTTGAAGAAATAAAACTGTTTTATATCAAGATATTGATGGGGATCAAAATAAGGACCTAAACAATTTAAGAGCGTTTGTGTGACGTGGATAATTCAGAGTGACAGAGCGAAAAAAAGGAATCGTGATACCTCGATTCAGCATCCTCATGATTCAGTACGCAGATTGTGTGAAGGTGAATTGAGATACGTCAATCCAATGACATATCGTGTTGACATTTGATAATAAACTTCCGTTTTTGCTTGATTGGGATGCGCATGAGAGAAGAGAACTTCCGTTGCCAGGGATGCTAGCTGTCAGTTGTTCATGTATACGAAGAAGAATGTGGACGGTAATTGATGTGTAATTGATGAAACGTGATATGAGGCAGTTTGTATATTTGATAATAGAAGAATGAACAATCGTGCGAGCACTACTGTACTTATTTGAAACATTGCGAGAATAATCTTCCAAACATCGTCTAAATCAATTAAAGCGATAATTTCATATTTTTAAGTTATATTTTTAAAATGTATTAAAATAAAGCCTTAAAATAGACGGTATCTATAAACAGTCCTACTTTGTTAAAGAATAATCCTATTGATCCTATAATTCACAATAGCAAGTTGAGAAATTGGCAAAAATAGCATTTTCAACTTCAAATTCAAACATTTGAAAATAGCTATTCCATGGAGGATACATGTTGAAAAACAAGGGAGGTAATTGTGTTATTATTTCCGGGTTGAATGATTTTTAAGTGTGAGAATGATACCTATGATCGTATGATAGTGAGTTGACAACCTATTGAGCAAAAGACATAGAAATAATTATGTTTTGACTTTCTTAGAAAATATGAAAGTCTCGCTTTAAGATTGATGTGTAATTATTTAAAGATACATCACAGTAAGTAATGTGTGACGTCGATAATTTACTGAAACGACAAAAAAAACCCGAAACATTGTGATACATAAATTCAACAGGATTCGCGTAGATAATCGCAAGACGGTGAATCAAGATACATCAATTCAACAATAAATCGTGCCAGCACTAATGTACTTGCTTGAAACATTGAGAGAATACCCTTCGAAATGTCTCTAAATTAATTAGATTGATGTGTTATTATTGAAAGATACATTAAAGTTTGTTTAGATGTAAGAGTTAAATCGTCCTATTCTTTAAATGAGTATTATGGGAGATTTGAAAAAGAGCTGACAGTTCTCGCTATAATAGTTAACAAATAGATAACATAAATAGAATATGCTGAAAATTTCAGTCAAATTGATCCACTCTGAACTGAGATATTAGCTTTTGAATTCTAGGCTAGCCTCAATCATCATTGCGATAAAAAACAAAATCCTGATTATCCGTTTTACATTAAATTATTTTAAAAAAAAAATGTATTCCAATCTGCTAAATATTGCTGGCTAGCGATGACATTGAGAGTTGATTTTGGTCTGGATAAGTTAATTAATGTCTAATTGATAATTTAGATAACATTTAAGGCCTAAAGAAAGACCTTCAATAGACAGATTTAGATAACATTTAAGGCCTAAAGAAAGACCTTCAATAGACAGATTTAGATATTTCAGGCCTAAAGAAAGACCTGCAATAAGCAGATTTAGATATTTAAGGCCTAAAGAAAGACCTTCAATAGACAGATTTAGATATTTCAGGCCTAAAGAAAGACCTGCAATAAGCAGATTTAGATATTTAAGACCTAAAGAAAGACTTGAAATAGACAGATTTAGATATTTCAGGCCTAAAGAAAGACCTGCAATAGACGAATTTGGTCTTGTGCATTATGTTTGTTTTACATCTTTGTTTATCTGTATTCAGTAAAGGCTACATATTTGAGAAACCATGGAGAATGGTCACATGTAAAATTAAATTTGTACATTTTATTCGACATTATGGTCGCTGTGAAGTGGATGAAACATGTAGTGTAAAGGCTTTCAGCTCTTGCGTTGACCACAGTTTAAATAAATGTATAAAATAAATAATATCCAGCCCCTACTCTCCCCATTCTATAGCATGTCTATTTCTGGTTCAATTACTAAATATCTACACCTACAAGATTTATAAAACAGTTCAACAATCTATACAGGCCTGTCCAACCTCGTCGGTTTTCTCTGGTTTCCTCCCACTGCTAAAGACCCCTATGCGTAAAGCGAATTATTAAAATAAAATTAAACCATGTGTTAGTCCCGAAATGACCTAGTTTGTGTCTGTGGAAGTTAAACCCCCTCTCTCTCTCTCTCTCTCTCTCTCTTTTTACAGGCCTTAAAATTCAATCAATCTTGAATCAGAATTTCCCTGAATCTAAAGATGATGTTTTCTAAGGAATTTAAATTGATTTCCATCCTTTAAGTGAAATTATTGGTGAACTGTGGATAAATAATATCTAACTAATATTATGATGAAAAATGGAGTATTGTACATGTAAGAAATTTAAGATGCATTGTGTAAGAGCTAAATCTGTCTATTGCCGGTCTTGATTTTGGCTTCAAATGTTATATACATGTAAATTGGTATTAAGACATTTATGAATATGGCAAGCCTATAGTCAACTCTCTAGATCAAAGGATGGCCGAGATTTAAATGGATTAGAATGCTCGCGAGAATTAAAAAATGGATAATCAAGACTTAGTCTCATTTGTCAAGTACCGTAGCTACAATAATAAATGATCTACACTATATCTTCCATCACTCATAACTTCCCTCAGAATAAAGTAATTTAAATGAAATTTTCAGTATATTCACTTTACATTATCTGTTTTTGAACTATATGTATTTACATGTATAGCATGAATAGTCAGCTCTTTATCTAAATCTTACATAATACAGCTTTAATCTGATTAAAGTACTGGGCCCTTATTCACGAAAACTTAAACTAAGATACAAATCGAAATTTTAAGAAATACTGCAATTCGATTGGCTGACCAATATGCAAATTGGATATGGGCAAATTGATTTTACTGGTCAGCCAATCAAATTGCAGTATTTCTTAAAATTTCGATTGTATCTTAGTTTAAGTTTTCGTGAATAAGGGCCCAGATCTATGTTTCGTTTTATTTTTTATACTTTCGATTGCCTACACTACATGAAGATCAGACCAGTTGATTTGGAAGTTCACATCAGGGGTCAAACGAGCGGCTTTTGATCCTATGACGTCAGACATTGATTAATCAATCAGCATTGTCATTTCTAGTGGTTTACCCACAGTTCCGTGCATAAAAAGGCCAAGAACTCTCCGTAAAAGACTGTTTCATTGGCTAATACCTCACACTATTCAGAACATGTCAAGGATAACAACTCTTCCAGATCCTAGTGTAGTAAAGACAAGTAAAACGAAATTTTGAACTACAAAAACGAAATGAAATAGGATCTGTATTTTAATCAGATTTATTTGATTCTGAGGTTTACGACTGTTTTCATGATTTATAAGAATACGATTGTTTGTCCGTGGTGTGGATTACATGGTAATGAAACAGAAGACAGGCCAGTAACATATAAAAATATAAAATGCATAAAACTGTGATTTGTTATCAAGTAAAACCTTTCTCATCGTTCGTCATATTTCATACCAAATATATATCTTGTAGACTTTGTATAAAGATTCTTTAATTATGTTTAGTGTCTGTGGTAATCATTTTTTATACGCCCACATTGAAATGTGGTCGTATATTGTTGTCGGTCCGGCGTCCACAATTGCTAATTTAAGGTCATGAGACGAAGAAGCCTAATGATTTCAGCGATTTCCGATAACTACTGCCAGAGTTATGGCCCTTGATCACTTTGAAAAATCTTGTGGACGCTCTAGAGGCTAAAGTTAATATCCGATTGACTTTAAATTGATACAGTGTTTAAGGTCATGAGACGAATCCTATTGATTTTCAGCGATTTTCGATAATTTTTGCCAGAGTTATGGCCCTTGATCACTTTGAAAAATCTTGTGGATGCTCTAGGGGCTATAGTTAATATCTGATTGACTTTAAATTTATACACAGTGTTTAAGGTCATGAGATGAAAACGCCTATTGATTTTCAGCGATTTCCGATAATTACTTTCAAAGTTATGGCCCTTGATCACTTCTTCAGGACGGACAGGCTAACAAGGAAAGCTGTGTAGTCGTACTGATGGGACGAAAAATCGAGGTCCCGTAAAAGATCCCTGGGCAGTTGGAATTCGATATAAGAGTAGGACGTAGCGCCGCTGCCTGGGCAAAATTTCCCTCATAGCACACTGTATGGCGTATATCCATCTTCATTAACCCAGTTTAGGAGCAGAACAGTAGGACGTGAAACTTCATTTCATTTAATTTAAAATATTTTTAGAATGCTGCCATTAAGTGAGTAAGGTGTTTGCTCGCAAGCCAGAAGGTCCTTTGTTCGATCCCGGTGTCGGCTGAGAAAGTTTATCAGTATTTTCCGGTGTCGTTTCAACTTGTCAGTAAGGTAGGACGGGGAGGGCCTGACACAGACAGCTGTGTAGTCGTTCGGATGGGACGACTAACCAAGGTCCTGTGTACACATTGGCATGCACTTAAAAGATCCCTTCGCGATTTCGATATAAGAGTAGGCCATAGCACAGCTGTCTGGCCAAAATATCCTTCCTAGCACAGTGTATCGGTTTATATATTCTAACTAAAGGGAGATAACTCTTAGAATAATTCTAGATTAATATATTACAGACCTCTATAGCTACTACTCATGTTGCTATCCTGTCCAGGGTCGCCTGTCAATCCTTCTGGGTTTTCTCCAGGTCCTCCAGTTTCCTCCCACTGCTAAAGACCCCTACGTGCAAGCAAATTTTTGAAATAAAATTGAACCAGGTGTTAGTCCTGAAATGACCTAGTTTGTGTCGAGTGGACGATAAACCCCATTTCTCTCTCTCTCTCTGCTATCCTGTCACTATTAGCCTGGTTGGTACAGATGTTATATCTCCATCTGTGAGCAAACAATGATTAAAATAGTTGGTTAGAAATGTCTTAATGCCTTTTATTAATATTTATGAAGAGTGGCGGGGGGTTGGATGGCTGAATGGTTGGCGTGCGCGCGCTTTATCATATAGTCTGTCGTTGAGTCGACTGGCGTGGGTTCGAATCCCCGGTTGTACGTGACAAGGAGTAGGGTCGCCTGTACAACCTCGTGGGTTTTCTCCGGGTCCTCCGGTTTCGTCCCACTGCTAAAGACCCCTACGCTCAAGCAAATTATTGAAATAAAATAAAACCATATGTTAGTCCCGAAATGACCTAGTTTTTGTCGAGTGGACGTTAAACCCCATTTCCCTCTCTCTCTCTCTCTCTATGAAAAGTGGCTTTGAAAATAATTGACAGAGATGTGTATTGAACAGGTTGGCAAGGTTACATACTAAACTCTCACTTATATTACTGTGTAACGTATGCTTTCCCCGATGGTTATATCGCAGACAAATTGTCTGTATTATGCTAAGGGCATGTGTAGGGGTCTTTCCTTTGCGAGGAAACCCGAGCACCCGAATTAAACCCATGAAGTCTAGAAGGCGCCCACATCCACTCACACCAGGGATCAAAACCATGATAGCTAGAGTTCAAACTGTGACACTCTAGACGATTAAGCCGTCAACCCACCCCGCCTGATTTTGTATTGATCCATGGACCCATTCTATAAACTCGAACTCTCTTGCAATACCATGTTACAGTTTCATCCACACAGAGAGAGGAATGGGGTTTAACATCCACTCAACACAAACTAGGTCATTTCCATTTCGGGACTAACACATGGTTCAATCTTATTTCAATCATTCAATTTTATTTCAATAATTCGCTTGCGTGTAGGGGTCTTTAGTAGTGGGAGGAAACCGGAGGACCCGGAGAAACCCCACGAGGTTGGACAGGCGTCCCTACTCCTTGTCACGTACAACCGGGGATTCGAAACCACGCCAGTTGACTCAATGACAGGCCTTATGATACAACTGGCACGTGCTAACCATTCGGCCATCCAATCTTGAACACAGATGTTGTGCAAGCAGGATTGTTTGTTAACATTAAATGAAGTACCATTCTTCTACTTCTGTAGGGAGCCACTGCGACTCAATGAGTAACATACTGGCTCATAAATGGCTCGTCAATGGTGCAGGTTGAAGGACCTGACAAGGACAGCTATCTAGTTGTTTGAATGAGATAAAAAAAAACCTGAGGTCTCGTGTACACATTGGCATGCACGTAAAAGATTCATTATGATATTAGAGTATGCTATATCACCGTTGTGCGGGTGAAATTTCCTTCGTAGCACACTGTATGGCATATGCTCGTCTTCATGAGCTCAGACAGAGCACAACAGTAGGATGTTAAACCTCATTTGATTGAATACTGAACAGTAGGATCTTAAACCCCCATTTCTTATTATACACCGGTAGCTGTGTACTGGTGAACCTCTCTCTCCATCTGTGTATGTTGACTTATTTCTGGTTTAGAGAGAGAGAGATAGAGACGTTGTTTAACATCCACTCAACACAAACTAGGTCATTTCGGGATTAACATATGGTTTAATTTTATTTCAATAATTCGCGTGCACTTAGGGGTCTTTAGCAGTGGGAGGAAACCGGAGGACCCAGAGAAAACCCACAAGGTTTGGCAGGCGACCCCACTCCTTGTCACGTACAACTGGGGATTCGAAACCACGCCAGTTGACTCAATGACAGGCCTTATGATAAGGAGCGCACTAGCTAACCATTCGGCCATCAAATCCCCCTCCGTACTGGTGAACCTCTCTCTCCATCTGTGTATATTGACTTGTTTCTGGTACGGTACCGGTACCGTAAGAATGGTGAGATATCTTATATGTTTGTATTTATTTATATTTAAATCACAATAACCCTGTAAATAGCCTGGATGACCAGTCTGAATAAAATACAAATCATATTAAAATAGTCTTTTATTGTTGTCTTGTACTGATCAGGGGGGGTTGAAATAAAATTAAACCATATGTTAGTCCCGAAATGACCTAGTTTGTGTCGAGTGGACAGTTGAGGTTAAATCCCATTTCTCTCTCTCTCTGTACTTATCCATGGAGGTTCCAGGAATTGTTGCAGGAGGGGGTTTGCATAGGATCACCTTGTGATTCGATTTCATTGATGGAAAGTATTAATTGTGATATCACACATGTCTATAGTATCATTATTTCTCGCTGTGAATGCCGATCCCATCCCACCATCTGATGATAAAGGGTAAACAACACGACCGATTTTTATAATGTGTTATTTTTAATTTTTTATGTAGTTGAGGGTTTAAACCCCCCCCCCTCCCCCGGAAAAACCAAGGTCCTGTGTACACATTGGCGTGCACAAAAAATATCCCTTGGCAGTTGGAATTTGATATAAGAGTAGGCCATAGTGCCGCTGTCCGGACAAAATTTCCCTCATAGCACACTGTATGGTGTATGCCCGTCTTCATTATCCCAGTTGGAGCAGAACAGTAGGGCGTTAAACCACATTTCATACCCCCCCTCCCCAGCTTGACTCACTGCAAAGTCTTGTGACCTAAAGCACACATCTTGGACCACTCAATCACTCAACCCTGCATCACAGGTTATGTCTTAATATTAAGACCACATGCAAATTTCGTCAATGTCACGATATGTAAACAAGGCCACATAAAACTCTCACCAGAGATCAATACCAGGAATGAAAGCTAGAGGTCACCAGCCAGCGCGACACTTTAGATCACTAGGCCATCCCAACTCTCGTCAGAGATCGCATCCAGGAACGAAGCTAGAGGTGACCAGCCAGCACGACACTCTAGGCCATCCCAACTGAGAGAAATGGGGTTTAACGTCCACTCGACACAAACTAGGTCATTTCGGGATTTACATATGGTTTAATTTTATTTCAATAATTCTCTTGCGCGTAGGGGTCTTTAGCAGTGGGAGAAAACCGGAGGACCCGGAGAAAACCCACGAGGTTGAACAGGCGACCCTACTCCTTGTCACATACAACCGGGGATTCGAAACCACGCCAGTCGACCCTTAGAACGGAAGACTAAGAGCAGAACTCATATATCGGACAATGAAATTAGGAGTAATTAGGACTACTGAGGGATAAGACTTGGCGAATCAAAACAGAATAAAAAAAAGAATGAAGTGATTGTAAAAACATTTTTATTATTCTTGTGTTAAAACTGTCTCTGGTTTAAACGTTTATAAATCACAATAAAACAGCAAACTGGGTATTATTCTTATTCTTCTTATTTTTCGTTTAATTTATCGTTAATTTATTATTTACAAAATTTACATATAACACTGTGCTTATACATAATACACCATGTGTATACATAATACACTGTGTGTATACATATTACACTGTGTGTTTACATGATACACCGTGCATATACATATTAAATCATGTGTATGTGTATTAAACTGTGCATATACACATTACACTACACAGTGTATACATATTACAATGTGTGCATATACATATTACATCGTGTGTATACATGATACACCGTGCATATACATATTAAATCATGTGTATGTGTATTTAAAAACTGTGCATATACACATTACACTACACAGTGTATACATAATACACTGTGTGTATACATATTACACCGTGTGTGTATACATATTACACTGTGTGCATATACACATTACACTACACAGTGTATACATAATACACTGTGTGTATACATATTACACCGTGTGTGTATACATATTACTTCATGTGTATGTGTATTACACTGTGCATATACATATTATACTACACAGTGTATACATAATACACAGTGTATACATAATACACAGTGTTTATACCTAATACACAGTGTTTATACATAATACATCATGCATATATGTATTACACCATGTATATACACTACACAGTGTATACATATTACACCGAGCGTATGCATATTACACAGTGTGTAGAATTATTAAACTGTGCGTATCTTGGCCTAACCATGGTCTATAATTTATAATGATTATCTTTGGTCTAAAACAGTACATTAATTTTGGCCATTTTTTTTTTTATTGAAACTGCGATATGAACAATTCTCCCAAATCTTACACTTTTCCAAAGACTGGGCTAATGAAAACGTGCATTCACCATACAGTGTGCTATGAATAAAATTTTGCCTGGACAGCAGTGCTGCGACCTACTCTTATTTCGAATTCCAACTGTCAAGGGCTTTTTTATGTGGATGTGGGAAGTAGGTTTTCCATCCCATCCCAATGATTAGACAGCAGTCCTTGCCAAGTCATCCATCATGCACCACTGACCAGGGGGAAATGAACCGTAAAATCGGGAGTAACTATGGTGATATTGGTTAAGTCGGGTTGAGAATCATCCTATGATAAACCATGGTTGGATCAAGAATAGACTATTAAACTATAAAACTAAATTCTTCTAACTATTATGCTTACATATACATTTCCCCAAACCTTTGGGCAACAACTTTATTCCATACTTACGCCGTTTTCCATTCTTAGTTTTTAACTATAACCTTTACCAAATTTTAAAATGTACATTTTTCAATTTTTGTAGTGTTTATAATAAGTGGCTATAATATGAACGAACACTTCTATTTAAAAAATCAATTTCAATACTGATAAATATTGCGCTCTCGTTTACCCACGTAAATATAAGACCTATCCCGGCCCTGTTTGACAACCTAGATATGACATACGAACTGGTAAATATCCCGGGTCTGTTTAACAACGTAGATACGACATACGAACTGGTAAATCTAAATTTTCTTTATCTATAAATAACTTAGATCTACCATGGCCCAGAACATTTCCTTATAAATAATTTGATATCTTTCATGTCAAACCGGGGCCAGAACCCTTTCTTACAAATAATTTCATATCTACTATGCTAAACCGGGCCTAGAACATTTCGTACAAATAACTTAATATCTTACAAATAATTCATATCTACTTATTCGAAAGTTTATATCTACCTATTTCAAACAGGGTCCAGAACCCTTTTACACAAATAACAAAATGTAACCTAGCATTGAATAGTTTTTCAATGTTTCTGGGGGCTGCTGGGTACGAGCATATATCAAGGGGTTGGTGCCAAACCTTTGAGTTTTCCTCATTAAAAGTTAAATTATCAATTTGAGGATCCATTAAAGGTTAAATTATCAATTTGAGGGTCCATTAAAGGTTATAGGTCAAATTATCAATTTGCGAGTCCATTTTAGCGTGAATTCACTCCCGAAAGTTGAATACAGACATATAACAAAAATTGCACAAGATGAAAGAAGCTAAAACCATATAAAACATTGCGATTACACAACAAAATGCCAGCACTTTTGTACGTTTCACGTTCAAATCATCGATAAATTACTGAATAACAAGTTGAGTTAGATGAGCTTCATTCGAATAACAGACAAGGCAGAGATTATAAAACTTCAAAATAGTAAATATTTTATCCTGGGTACCGCAAGTAATTCTAGAAAAAAATTTGAAAGAATACATTTATATACAGTGGACTCCGTCACTTCCAACATCTGAATACTAAGACATTCTGTGAATTCTGTCATCATTTTCATGTCCCGTTTTACGTTGGATTGACATTGGATAATCCTGCCTTCTATCAGTCGTCCCGTCACACGATTTGCGTACAATTAACATTGGATAATCCAGCCTTCAATCAGTGGGTGTTAACCGACAAGCAATCACCAATCTTGATCTCTTGTAAGAGAGCGTTTGATGTATGTTCGAGTTTCTCACGTCAAATACACACTCGGCAAACCTTGGCAGATTCCAGTACTCTACATTTAGTACGTCCGGTATATTACTTCCGGTATAATTGAGCCAATTGAGTGTTCCGACATGCTGTCTAATCCAGCATATAGTATCGATCCCGTACAATGTTGGAATTGACAGAGTCCACTGTAGTCTCATTTATCAAGTAGGCCTACAGAATCCTGATAAATGTAACTGACAATCAAAAATGATACTGGATAATCATAAATTCCTATAAACAACAATTTGATTTGCATAGAAGTCATTTAGTCTAGTGGTGATCCTTTGATAAAATAAAAACTCAAAATCAAAAACCTCCCTCACTCATCAAATTTTTTAAAGAGAGAGAGAGAGAGATGGGGTTTAACGTACACTCGACTCAAACTAGGTCATTTCGGGACTAACATATGGTTCAATTTTATTTCAATTATTCGCTTGCGCGTAGGTTTTTTTTAGCAGTGGTAGGAAACCGGAGGACCCGGAGAAAACCCACGAGGTTGGACAGGTGACCCTGATTTTTTAATGGATTGTTCGAGAAATGAAATGAAATGGGGTTTAATGTCCTACTTTTCTGCGATTGTCTGAGAATCAGGGGTCTGTTTCACGAAATTTTAACTAAGATAAAATTCAAATTTTAGTAATTTGATTGGGTAATATTATATTGATTTTAGTGCTTAGCCAATCAAAATTGAAATATCTACTAAAATTCGGATTTTATCTTTAGATAAGATTTTGAGAAACCGGGCCCAGATTTGGGGTTTTTTTTGTATGTCCTAACATCAACAGAGTTCATTGACGTCAACAATTAAAACAAGATCACATATTTACACATTGTCGATATATAAATTTATAAAAATCTCAACTCTAAATAAACTCTATATTCCACGCCTTCATACATTAGTTTCAACAACAAATAAAAATAATACAGCACAAATATCTCCAGTTGCCTAAAATAACGGAAAACAAGAAACAAACTAACGACAGTTTATACATTGGGTGAAAACAGTTCAGATTATATTATTTCAAGATACCCCCTTCCCCCTCCGCTCACCTCACCTCTTCCCACAACCCGACCATGTTACATGTTACATATATCAGGAAAGGCATCTATATTCCCTTATGTTGTCATTTAAGTTCCGGCTTTGTCAGGTACTGTTTTTCTGTATTTTTCTTTCTTTTTTTCAATGCATGACAAGACCAAATATTGTTTAAGAGTTGCGTTTCTTTCAGGTCTGTTTTTAAAGTCGAATAACTGTAACTTCACATTCAAATCTGGTAATTTTTTTTTTTTTTTTTTTTTTTTTAAGCTTCATTTGAAATGTTAAAAATATTAAAAATGTTTTATTAATTCCTGGTCTGTCTTTAAATCTAAATAACTCCAACTCAACATTCAAACCAGGTTTGGTTTTTTGTTGGTTTTTTTGTAGCTCCATTTGAAATGTTAAAAATATCGTTAAAAATGTTTCATTAACTCCTGGTCTGTTTTTAAAGCTGAATAACTCCAACTCAACATTCAAACCAGATTTGTTTTTTTGTTGTTTTTTTTTTTCTAGCTCTATTTGAAATGTTGATATGTATAGAAAGTCGTTCTTGTTTCTATAATCTATCCACGTTATTCAAGTTCTGTTGTTTTACTGTTTTAAACTTTATTTATATCACACGAACCATCAACTGGAGAATATTTCACGTTAAAATCACTAAAAATTTGAATAAAACCAGCTAGTTAATCTGTTCATCACAGCTCAGACTTGTACCGAGGTAAACAAAGTCCAAATTTCGATTCTATTCCGTAAAATGTGGCATGGGCCAATCGGTAACCTCCAATATGATCGGGATTACGAGACAACATTTCCTCGAGTTGTGTCGACGTGGATTCGGAACCCTGAGGTCGTCTGAAATATAAAAACGATATTTGTTATTTTTTGATATTTGTTATTTTTTGTGAATGGCCAATGGTTTCGGTCCTGGCATTTATTACCATGACATTTGTAGTCTCATCAAATTCTACGAGTCTCATTCCCCGGACTTGTTCGGCAGACCTTTCATTCGCTCCACGCTCTGAGCTTGTTCGGCAGATCCTCTACAAGACTTGTGCCGTGAGCTTGTTAGGCAGACCCACTAGGTGCTTTGCTCTATGAGCTTGTTCATCAGATCTTCTACAAGCCTCGTTCCCAGGACTTGTTCGGCAGACCCTCCACACGCTTTGTGCTCTGAGTTTGTTCGTCAAACCACCAAAAGACTCGTTTCCCTGGGTTTGTTTGGCAGGCCCACCATGTGCTTTGTGTAATGAGCTTGACTGGCAGACCATTTGCATGCTTCATGTTCTAGCTATATTTGGCAGACCCTCTTCATGCTTATGTTGCAGTCTCTCTATGCAGTTTGTGGTCTGGCCTTTTTTAACTGATCCTCTCCAGAATACAGAGAGAGAGAGAGAGAGAGAGAAATGGACTTTAAGCACTCACACAAACTAGGTCAAATCGGGACTAACATGGTTCAATTTTATTTCAATAATTAGCTTGTGCATAGGGTTCTTTAGCCGTGGAAGGAAACCGGAGGACCCAGAGAAAACCCACGAGGTTGGACAGGTGATCCTATTCCTTGTCACGTACAACCTGAGAATTGAAACCAAGCTAGTTGACTCAATGAGAGACGTTATGATGCAACGCGCTCGGGCTAACCATACGGCCATCCATCCCCGCCCCCTTCTCCAGAACATAAAATACAGTACCAATGATGATCATGGATATTCACAGGCTATCAATACACAAAGACAAATTAATGGATTCACCTGGGCGCTTATTCACGAAAACTTAAACTAAGTTACAACCAAAATTTTAAGAAATACTGCAACTTCATTGGATATATGCAAATTGATTTTACTGCTCAGCCAATCGAATTGCAGTATTTCTTAAAATTTCGATTGTATCTTAGTTTAAGTTTTCGTGAATAAGGGCCCAGGTATCAAATTAAAACCTAGTTGATTAACACCTTAAAACTTGTTGTAAAATACAGGTATTATTTGTATGGAAGACAAAAAGAACATCTTCGGTATCTCCATCCAGTGGTCTCATCCCTTTCTACTCCGTTCTAGATATATTTAAATTATCTGTCCTTGCCGATTGTGCTATTTTTATCGATCAATACACATAATAGCATAATGACTTGCCACTGCCTGTTTTAACTGACATAAAAACACCTTTCCACAGATCATTTTATGTGCATGTGACTTTTTTCTACATTAAATTTCTTGTAAACTTTCTCATAATCAAGCGAGAGAGAGAGAGAGAGAGAGAGAGAGAGAAGTGGGGTTTAACTCCACTCGACACAAACTAGGTCATTTCGGGACTAACATATGGTTTAATTTTATTTCAATAATTCGCTTGCGCGTAGGGGTCTTTAGCAGTGGGAGGAAACTGGAGGACCCGGAGAAAACCCACAAGGTTGGACAGGCGACCCTACTCCTTGTCACGTACAACCGGGGATTCGAAACCACGCCAGTTGACTCAATGACAGACTTTATGATACAGCACGCACATGCTAACCATTCGGCCATCCAACCCCCCCATAATCAAGCGAACAAGACGCCATTATTGTTGTGAATGTAAACAATGACGCTAAGACTGGTTTGTGGACTGTTTTTGATTGGTTTGTAGAATCAAGCTATGATCAAAGGTAGATAATTTGAATTCGTGGAGCAGGGCTGGGGTAATGGTAATAAGTAATGGTAGATGTCAAAAGTAATAAGTAATGGAAATGTAATTAATTACATTCCAAAAATCATGTAATGGTCAATTACATTTCAATTACTTTTCAATATGACAAGCCTCAAATTTTATAGCACCGAAGAAGTAATTAAGTGTATCTGATACAAATCCAATTACTTATAATTCTAAAAAAAAGATTTAAATCAGTTTTAAAAAATTATAAGAAAAATAAGAAGGCATTAAACATTTTCTTTCATTACTTTTTATGTAGGAACCTTTTTTAGACATGTAACCTAAGAAGTGGATTTCTGATAAGATGTATATTATAATCAAAGATTAGTACTAATTTGCAGCCAATCACTCAGTCAATCAATCAATCAGTCAGTTAGATTAAAAGACAATAAATAGTCTTACTGCACTTTAATCTTAATCTCAAGGTAACAAGTGACAAACCAAACAATGACCTTCAAGTATCTCATCATTTTATGGTTACTTAAAACTAATATATATTTTGTTTTAAAGGCATGCTGAATAATTTACCATTTATTATACAATATATTATAGAAAAACTATTTGGACTGATTAAAAATTTTAAAAAATTACTTAAAAGAAAATACAGTTAATTAACTATAGTTTTGATTCATTTTTAAAGTCATACAGTGAAAATGTCAGTTTTTGTCACCACTGCCCGTCACTATAAAATTTGCCTTGATGTTATAATTGCTAGAAATAATAATTCATAAACAAATATCTATTAAGTGAATCAAGGATTATTTTGAGTTTGATTTTGTAGGTACTTCATGGCAGAAAAATAATGTTGTCTTTTTAATTTCTATGAAAATGTTTTTTTATTTATATAGTCATAAAGTAATGGGTAATGGTAATTAATTACTTTCAATGTAATGGGTAATGTTAATTAATTACATTGCTAAAAATGAGAAAGTAATTGTAATGATTACATTTAAAAAGTAATGGTAATGGTAATGTAATTAATTACATTGGTAATGTAATGGCCCCAGCCCTGACGTGGAGTGGAGTGGAGTGGAGTGGAGTGGAGTGGAGTGGAGTGGAGTGGAGTGGAATGAGACCACTAGAGACATCGAGGATGGAAAAAGAGGCGTCCAAGGCCGCTTTAAATTTAAATTTAAAACCAATCTAATTAAAATACAGATCTATATTTCGTTTTGTTTTTGTGTACTTTCAATGGCCTACACTACACGAAGATCTGACTGGTTTGTGCGATAGGTCACGTCAGAGGACATACGAGCGGCTTTTGACCCTATGACGTCGGACATTTGATTAATCAATCAGCATTGATGATACTAGTGGATTACCCACAGTTCCGTGCAAAATACGCCTAAAGCTTGCCGTAACAGACAGTTTCATTGGCTAATCCCTCACATCAACCAGAACGTGGGTTATATAACAACTCTTCCAGATCCTAGTGTAGTAAAGACAAGTAAAACGAAATTTTGAACTATAAAAACGAAATGAAATAGGATCTGTGTTTTAATTAGATTGATTTAAAAATTGGAGCCACGGTAGCTCAATGAGCCAGGATGTCTTAGAATTGATTCTGGAATTGGCAGAGAAAGTTCCTTCTTGATTTCCGGTGGTCAGTGGTGCAACAGACAGCTTGGCAAGGATGGAATTAAAAATGAAGTTCACCTGTGTCCCTCATTAGCCTAGTTGGTGCAGTGAAAATATAAAATAATTGCTGTACATACCTTCCACCGAAATCAACGTAAAACAGTCTCTGTAATAATTCATATGTCAACAAAGTTACACCAAACTGAGGTGACGATCGGAAGACACGAGCTGGAATACAATAATATACAGTCAGATGTTATACAATAATATATAGTCAGCTGTAATACAATATACAGTGGTGGTCAGCTGAAATACAATAATATACAGTCAGCTGTAATACAATATACAGTGGTGGTCAGCTGAAATACAATAATATACAGTCAGCTGTAATACAATATACAGTGGTAGTCAGCTGAAATACAATAATATACAGTCAGCTGTAATACAATATACAGTCAGCTGTAATACAATAATATACAGTCAGCTGTAATACAATAATATACAGTCAGCTGAAATACAATAATATACAGTCAGCTGAAATACAATATACAGTCAGCTGTAATACAATAATATACAGTCAGCTGTAATACAATATACAGTGGTAGTCAGCTGTAATACAATATACAGTGGTAGTCAGCTGAAATACAATAATATACAGTCAGCTGTAATACAATATACAGTCAACTGTAATACAATATACAATATAGACCTGTGTCTAACTTGTCATTCCTTTCCAAAATTGTTGAAAGAGCTGTAAATCTCCGTCTTCAATCCCATATCTCGAAATATGAGTTGTTGGATAAGTTTCAGTCTGCTTACAGACCCCACCATGGCACTGAGACCACTGTGTTGAGGGTCCTCAACGACCTACAGTGTGCAGTGGATACAGGGAATGTAGCATCTTTGACTCTTTTGGATTTATCTGCAGCGTTCGACACTGTGGACCATCAGATTCTATACAATAGACTTAAAAACCAGTTTTGGATTTCCGGTACACCGCTTTTATGGATCACGTCATATCTTAGTAATAGACATCAAACAGTTCTACTTGGTGAGGCTAAATCTCTACCGTTTAAACTTGACTGTGGTGTACCGCAAGGCAGTGTTTTAGGACCCATTTTCTTTGTTCTTTATACAACCGCTTTAGGGTCTGTGATCGATGGCTATGATCAGAGGCACTACTCTTACGCCGATGATACTCAACTCATTGGTGTGTCTAGTCCTATGCTAATCAGAAATGCCTTACAAAAAACTACTGACTGTTCGCTGGCAGTTAAACAGTGGATGAAAGCGAACAAACTAAAATTGAACGACGATAAAACAGAGGCTCTTTTAGTAGGTTCATCACAACAACTCAAGTTACTACCTGATCTTAAAATCACCATTGGTAATTCAGAAATAAATTTCTCCAAAAATGTTCGAAACCTTGGAGTGATATTTGATCCTTCTCTGACAATGGACGCTCAGGTTGATATGGTATACCGTACATGCTACTATCATCTACGCTGTATATGCAACATCAGAAACTATCTCACTGCTGACGCTTGTAAACTACTTGTGAGATCACTTATTTTATCAAGGATTGATTATTGTAATAGTTTACTCTATGGAATCCCACAAGCACTTCTAGCCAAGATCCAAAAGGTTCTTAATACTGCAGCCCGAATAGTAACAAGGACACATAAGTTTGATCACATCCAGAATGTGCTGGCTTCTTTACATTGGTTACCTGCTGAGGCGCGAGTCAAATACAAAATACTAACATTAGTGTATAAATGTCGCAATAATGCAACTCCTCAATACTTATCTGAACTCTTATATGACTACCACCCTATTAGATCACTTCGCTCTCAAAATAAACAGTCACTAGTTGTTCCAAGATATAATTTAAAGTCATATGGGTATAGGTCTTTCAGTTCAGCTGGTCCTAGATTATGGAACGAACTTCCACAACAGATCAAGAATCAACAAACTTTTAATCAATTTAAACTCGCACTAAAGACTTTCCTGTTTCAACAGTTTTACCAGCAGAGCCATTACAAAAAGCGTTTTGAGCATGTGTCAACATGGAGAAGACGCTATATAAAACTTCATTATTATTATTATTATTACAGTCAGCTGAAATACAATAATATACAGTCAGCTGAAATATAATATACAGTCAGCTGTAATACAATAATATACAGTCAGCTGTAATACAATAATATACAGTCAGCTGTAATACAATCATATACTGTCAGCTGAAATACAATAATATACAGTCAGCTGTAATACAATAATATACTGTCAGCTGTAATACAATATACAGTCAGCTGTAATACAATTATACAGTACTAGTCAGCTGTAATACAATATACAGTTGTAGTCAGCTGTAATACAATATACAGTTGTAGTCAGCTGTAATAGTTGTCTACGATATCAACTATGGCGGAAGTGGACGTAAAACTATAGGAACGAACGAAGGAGCTGTAATAAAATGATTTACCACTATTTCCTTTCCTGAGGGGTGTTGAGTAACTAATTAGTCTGTTACATAGAATACAATTGTTTACCTGGTGCTCCTTTCCAGAAAGCTTTTCCTCCTTCTTCCGCCCAGATCTTACGGATACAATCAATTACACCTTTATATTCCGTCTGCCCGGTTCTTGCCGCTACTTGTAAACGGGTTTTGATCACATCAGCTGGGGTAGGTAGAAAGGCTGCAGGCATACCTAGTTTGGACAATGTTACAAATATTATTAAAATGTTTTACTAAATCTGCTGCAGGCATACCTAGATTGGACATTTTTGCTCCATGTGGGTTAATAACTAACCAAGGGGAGAGAACTCTTGCATGACAGTTGGCTGAGAGGGGTGGGGGTGTAATCAAATTGTTGAAATAAAATTAACTGTTAATCCTGAAATAATGTAATTTGTGTAAAGCAGACCTTAAACCTTTCTATGTTCGTGGTGTTTTTTTTCCTATATTAACACCTGTCACAAATTCAATATTACCTGACATTTACAGGTGTGAGAGAGAGGGAGAGAGAAGGGTGGGGGGGTATGTCCACGACAAACTAGGTCATTTTGGGACTAACATGTTTTTTTGTTTTGTTTTTTTGTAAAATTCGCGTGCGCGTAGGGGTCTTTACCAATGTGAGGAAACCGGAGGCCCCGGAGAAAACCCACGAGGTTGGACAGGCGACCAGGTGTGAGAGACCATCTTATATGAAACTAAGTGTTGCAATATATCACTGATTTAATAGTCAAAATTACATATGGTAGAAAGGGGGAGAGACAGAAATGGGGGTTAAATTCCACCTGCGACTAACATATGGTTCAATTTTATTCCAATAATTATTTTGCACGTACAGGTAATTAGTAATTGGAGGAAACTGCAGGACCCAGTGAAACGTCTTGAGGTTAGGCAAGTGACCCTTCTCCTCGTCTTGTTTGGTATACCATTGGCGTGCATGTAAAAGAGCCCTTAACAGTTGGAATTCGATATACGAATAGATACCGACGATCAATGTCCGGACAAAATATCCCTCATAACAAACTGTATAGTCTATGTCCATTTTTCATCAGCCCAGTTGGTGCAGATAAGTAGGATGTTAAAACCCATTTCATATCAGTTTTTATTTATTTGTATAAGATGTGAAAGAGAGAGGAATGGGGTTTAACGTCCACTTGACACAAACTAGGTCATTTTGGAACTAACATATGTTTTAATTCTATTTCAATAATTCGCTTGCGCGTAGGGGTCTTTAGCAGTGGGAGGTAACCGGAGGACCCAGAGAAAACCAATGAGGTTGGACAGGAGACCCTACTCCTTGTCACGTACAACCGGGGACTCGAAACCACACCAGTCGACTCAATGACAGGCCTTATGATACAGTGGGCACATGCTACCCATTCGACCATCCAACCCCCCCGTATAAGATGTGAAACTCACCTGCTAGTGTGGCTGATAATAAGAGCGTGGCCGGTGAATTAAAACCATTTTCATCAGCGAAGAATTTTTTAGTATGTGCGTAAGCTGGGAAGTAAATAGCGGAGAAAGGTATGTCTCGTAAAAAACAGGCTTTAGATCCCTAAAATAAACAATTACACATTATTAATTATTAGACCCCTAATTGGATGTCAAACCCAATTTCCCATCCTTCCATCAATCAAAACAGAAGAGTATCATCTGGTTTGTCAAGCAGATAATAACGAGATATTATAATAATTTAAAGTTGATCGGTGGCACATGAACCGAGTATCTTACCTTATATAAACCGAAGAATCCGAGATCTTTAATTACACTAATAGCACTAACACGACCTTGACTGGCGATTTCTCCGGCCACTTGTAGACGGATTTTAACAATTTCTAACGGATTCGTAAACACAACTTGACAAGCACCGGCCTGAAAAAAAAACCAATATTTAAACAATATTTATAAACATTGTATTGGCAAGCCTCACATAAAGCACCTGTCAGAGAGAGAGAGAGAGAGAGAGAGATATGGGGTATAATGTCCACTCAACACAAACTAGGTCATTTTGGGACTAACACATGGTTCAATTTTATTTCAATAATTAGCTTGCTAACTATTTGGCTATTCAACCCCTACCTGTCTCAGACTTTGTCAGGCACAATTATCACACAACATATAAATGAAATGAAATGTGGTTAAAAGTCCTACTGTTCTGCTCCGACTGGGCTAATGAAGACGGGCATATACCACTGTGTACTATGAGGGAAATTTTGCCCGGACAGTGGCACTTCAGCCTACTCTTATATTAAATTTCAACTGCCAAGGGATATTTTATGTGCATGCCTATGTGTACAAGGGACCTTTTGTACCACTGAAAAATGGAAACCATGCCGGAAAATCCAATGAACTTTTTCAGCGAACACCGGGATGGAACCCGCGACCTCCAGGCTATTTAGCCTTCATGGCTCTAACATATATAAGGCACCTGTTATAGACACGTATATGTTATAATAAAAGCGTTTTGTGGAAATTTATGGCCAGGTCAAACAAATTTCATTTTTAGTTTGCCAGAGTTTTATTTAGAAATTCCAAAACTTAAAAATGTGCAACTAACAAAGAGCTTTTCTTTCTTTTAAAGATACATTATGTAACATTTAGATAAAGAGACGAACCTTCTTGCTATAATTTCGATTGCCTCTATCTGGGGTTCTGTTTCAATTGTCAGACTGATGAACTTTGACTCCATGAAGTAAAGTATTTATCAAACTGAATATACAATCTGATTCAAATACAGATCTATAGTTCGCTTCGTTTTTTTACACTTTCGAAGGCCTACACTACATGAAGATCTGACCAGTTGTAGTGGAAGTTCGCGTCAGGTGCCATCCAAACGGCATTTGACCTTTTGTCGTCAAGACATTAATCAATCAGCGTTGATGTTTCTACTGGTTTACCAAAAGTTCTATGCACCTCACGCCAAAACCTCGCCGTAAATGACCATTTCATTTGCTAATCCCTCACATCAACCAAAATGCAGGTTATATAACAACTCTTCAAGATCCCAGTGTAGTAAAGACAAGTAAAACAAAATTTTAAACTATAAAAAACGAAATAGGATCTGTGTTTTAATCAGATTGACTGATTATACAGCAGGATAAGTAAATAAACTGACTTACCGTACCACCTGATACCATCTCTGCCCACACAGGAATACTTCCATCTTTATTCATTAATTTATCTCGCATTAAATCATTCATCTACAAATAAACAATAAATAATATCAGAGATAAGGTGGCTATGGAGATCTGGTTATCCCGAATGTCAGTGACTAGTTTCGTTCGTATTGAACTCTTCAGACTGATTGGACTCACGTGTTGGGAGTTTTTATTTATACTATTCCGAATCCCCGGGGGTTTTCTATGGTTACTAATTGGTGGGGTTACCGGGGTTGGCCCCTTGGCGGGGTTTGCGAATTTGTTACCGGGGTCGGTAGCTCGCTTACCGGGGTTGTACAGAGGTTTGACAAATTGGCGGGGTGCTGAATTTGTTACCGGGGTCGCTAGCTCGCTTACCGGGGTTGTACTGATCGTTTAGATTGAAGTGCTAGTGTCCATAATTTTGCTAACTAGGCTAATATCATTCGGATCATTTATCTCATATCAAATATAAATAATATCATTCATAACATTTACATCGCAACTAATAAACAATAATATCATTCATAGCATGCGCATCAAATAATTCATCTACAAAAAATAAACCCTTTAAAATATATTTCGAAAGATAAAATTTCTAATATTCTTTGAAAACAATGTCATTCCGGGACTAACACATGGTTCAATTTCATTTCAATAATTTGCTTGCACGTAGGGGCTTTAGCAGTGAGAGGAAACCGGAGGACCCAGAGAAAACCCACGATGTTGGACAGGCGACCCTACTCCTTGTCACGTACAACCATGCCAGTTGACTCAATGCCAGACCTTATAATACAACGCGCACACGCAAACCATTTGACCATCCACCCCCCAAGATCAGTAGACATTATTAACTTTCTCGTGTAGATCAATAAAAACGTTAATTCATCTTACCGTTAATTTGATAGCTTTTTCTGGAGCGACACCAACTAACTGTGGAGCGAGACCTCTATATAAACCTAGAATACCTTCATGACGAATAACTTTCTTAGCGCAATCAAAACTATTTTTATACATCAGTTCACCGACAAACGACCCAGTTCGTTGATTCTGCATACGAGTTTTCACCAGATCGATTGGATATACAGCTGTAGCTCCAGTTGCTAAAATAAAAAAAAAACATTTAACGTCATAAGATTTACTGAACAAGCATTAGTGGGTGGGAGGGACGGGGTGAAAGAGAAATGGGGTTTAACAACCACTACATGCAAACTAGGTCATTTTGGGACTAACATATGGTTTAATTTTATTTCAATAATTTGCTTGAGCTCTGGGGTCTTTAGCAGTGGGAGGAAACCAGAGGACCCGTAGAAAACCCACAAGATCGGACAGGTGACACTACTCCTTGTCACGTATAACCGGGGAATCGAAACCACGCCAGTTGACTCAATGACCGACCGTATGTTACAGCACGCGCGTGCTAACCATTCGGCCATCCATCCGCGCATTATAATCGAAGAGTATATCTAGTGTATTTGTTCTACTTACCACCAGCTAAAGCTCCGAGGGAGAACCTGTAGGCACTCTCTAATATAGCTGATAACACTGTTCGTTTATTCTGACCGTGTTCCAATAATAACTTAGTCTGAAATAATAATATCAGTCAGAAATAATATTTAACTGTCTAAAATAATAACGGTCTTAAATAATAATAACAGTCTAAAATAATAATAACGGTCTAAAATAATAATAACAGTCTGAAATAATAATAATAACGGTCTGAAAAGATAATAACAAGTCTAACATAATAAAATGTCTGAAATAATAACAAATATGAAAAATAGCGAGGTTCACCTATTTTTATTACGTACGACATTTTAATATTTTGTTGACAAGTGATTGACACGTTCGATTGCCGAACGAAAATCGCTTACAAGACAGTGCTTACTATGAAGCTATGTGCTATGAGCCACGTTCTCCATACACTGAAGGAATGTTACTGACATAAATTTGATTACCGTACGGGAATTAAATATGAAAAATAGCGAGGTTCACCTCTTGTTATTACGTACGGCATTTAAATATTTTGTTGACACGTGATTTTTAATTGTGGTATGAATCCGTCTGCTTATATATCGATAAGAGTTATGCCCCTTTATTTTCGGTAAAATGTCCGACAAGGAAAATTTTGAAATCCCATCACTGGTCTAAAATAATAATATCAGTCTGAAAAAAAAACCAATAACAATTTATTCGCAATAACAGTCATAATATCATAACAGTCTGAAATAATAATAACAGTTATAAATAACAGTTTGAAATGATAAAGAACAGTTTGAAACTAGAACAGTTTGAAACTAGAACTGCGACGCAGTAATGACAGGTTTCACCGGTGCCACGTTACCCTAAACATGTCACTTCCGGTACCAATGAAACCATTAAACAGGTTTCCACATAAGCATTGCACACATCAAATAAAATGGACGCCGAATCAACCAAATCCAGCAATATCAATTCATTTTATACATTTGTTACATATAAGTGTACAGTACTTCCGGTGATAATGAAAATGTTCAATTAGTGTTATGAAATCAGAAATGGCATAAGGCATCACATGGTGAAAATTTTATGTAAATCGAATAATAATTGCCACTTTTATAGACCAAAAACCTTGAAAAGTGACTTGTATAAAATTGTCTATTTCTCTGCAACCGTACAAGTTAGAAACCATTTTCTGGTTATCTGTATGATCGTATGGGTTCAATCTATTTGCTGATTGGAATCAAATATCATAATTTTAAAAACATTACAAATCAGACTCATTTGAATAAAATATCTGTTTTGAAGGCTAAAAATTCAGTTTTTGCCAAAATGACGTTACTTCCGGTGATAATGAAAATCTTAAATTACTTGTATGAAATCGTAAATGGCATTAGGTATCACACAGTGAAAATTTCATGAAAATCAAATAATAATTGACACTTTTGTGGAAAAAAAACCTTGAAAAGTGACCTGTTGAAAATTGCCTATTTCTCCGCAACTGAACAGATTTGAAAAAAATAATATTTGCTTTTGAAAAGTGGTACCCAACTGTCAAAATTGTAGTTTTTCGTAAAATTACGCCACTTCCGGTGCCGACAGATAACTCTATCGGTAACAAAAAAAATGGCAATTGAGACAACGGAGCATATGAACTTTGTTTTATACAAATCGAACAATACATAATTAATCTAGGACTGAAAAACTGAATTAGCCAATGGCGGCCAAGGAAAATTACTGAGACAAAAAAAATTCTGATTTTTGCTCAAGGCAGATGACTCGTTAATTTTGTGTAAAACACGACTAAAAAATATTCATAAATAAAAAAGTTTTTAGTAAAAATTTTATTTTTCGAAATTTGGCGCCTAATATCTACGAAGATTTGCCGAAAATCAAAAATCAAAAGTAGCGTAGCTATGTGCCCTGTCTCCGGCTATGCCAAAATGTATCGAAAGTTAAAATCCAATGATTATTGTTAAAATTACTGCAATATTTCTAAAAACGATAGCTTCGGTGATTTTGGACATTTCCCATTGTCGCAGAACGTTCAAAATAGCTTTATCCTCTAAGTCACACCCACTTTTCCAGTAAAACCGAAGAAATCATAACGATCCGACAAGCAGTTGCTGAGATCTAATCAAAAATAATTTGGAATAATAATAATAAGAAGAAGAATAATAATCTTAACAAGAAATCATAACGATCCGACAAGCAGTTGCTGAGATCTAATCAAAAATAATTTGGAATAATAATAATAAGAAGAAGAATAATAATCTTAACAAGAAATCATAACGATCCGACAAGCAGTTGCTGAGATCTAATCAAAAATAATTTGGAATAATAATAATAAGAAGAAGAATAATAATCTTAACAAGAAATCATAACGATCCGACAAGCAGTTGCTGAGATCTAATCAAAAATAATTTGGAATAATAATAATAAGAAGAAGAATAATAATCTTAACAAAAACAATAGTGTTTCACACAAGCTACGCAGTGTGAAACCCTAATAATAACAGTCTGAAATAATAATAACAGTCAGAAATAATAATAACAGTCAGAAATAATAATTAAAAGTCAGTTTAAAATAAATATATACCTCAGCTATTTGCATCTGTATTGAGAAAGGAGTATCTCGACCTTCCATAGGAGATAAAGCATTGATGTCTGCAAATGTTAATTTTCTGCAATAATAAAAATAGAATTTATCATTTTCAATTGGTTTTATTTTGAAAAAATAATAATATCGTCATTTATAAAGCGTGTTAATACTGAAAAAACAGTTTTAAAGGCAAATATTAGCCAGACAAAATGACAGAAGTGTTGAAACTGACAAAGACTGAATTTGTGTTTGACATTGTTTGTGACAGGTGCCTCAATTCCAGATTTGTATACAGAGTATGAAATAAATTTAATTATTTTCTTCTTCAATGTAAACATGCAGAAAAATAGGATGTTGAATGTAAAATGGTCAGCTTTAAACTGGACACAAGTACAAATTAGATGATTTTTGGTGATTTTAAACGATTTTTACAAATTTTTAAACAAAGATCTGATATTAAACAAATGTGAGAGAAATTAGTGCTGGATACACAAGATTAAATATAGTTGTATTTGTATTAAATATAGTTGTATTTGTATTAAATATAGTTGTATTTGTATTAAATACAGTTGTATTTATATTAAATACAGTTGTATTTGTATTAAATACAGTTGTATTTGTATTAAATACAGTTGTATTTGTATTAAATATAGTTGTTATTGTATTAAATACAGTTGTATTTGTATTAAATACAGTTGTATTTGTATTAAATACAGTTGTATTTGTATTAAATATAGTTGTATTTGTATTAAATATAGTTGTATTTGTATTAAATATAGTTTGTACCTACCCAGATTGATGACTAAGGCCAACCAATTGAAAGAGTATATCTATTTCTAAGGGTGTAATTTGAGCAAATTCCTGGGCTTGGTATAACATTTCCTCTAGAAGATAAAAATATACACAATAAAAACTTGGAGTTTTATACAGATAAAAATATACACAATAAAACTGAAATGAAATAGGGTTTAACGTCCTGTGGTTTCGTTTAACAGTCTGCTTAGCCTCACTTAAGAAATGAATTGTAATGAAATGGGGTTTAAGGTCCTACTATTCTGCTCCTATACTGGGCTAATGAAGACGGGCATACACCATACTGTGTGCTATGAGGGAAATTTTGCCTTTATAGCAGCGCTACGGCCTACTCTTATATCGAATTCCAAATGTCAGGGGTTCTTTTACGTACACGCCAATGTGTACACGGGACCGAACAACTGGTCAGATCATATGTCCTGCCCCAGATAAACGATGCTGATGCTAGATAAATCATATATTCCAATAAACAACATGATGATGATATAAATGTAGTGCCTTGAAATATGAAGTTTTTGAGAAACTATTTAGCCCACCTCCCATCAGATTTTTGATAAAGAACCAGAAAGAGAGAGAGAGAGAGAGAGAGGGAGAGGGAGAGAGAGAGAGAGAGAGAGAGGGAGAGGGAGAGAGAGAGAGAGAGAGAGAGATGAAGTTTAACATCCACTCGACACAAACTAGGTCATTTCGGGACTCACACATGGTTCAATTTTATTTCAATAATTTGCTTGCGCGTAGGGGTCTTTCAGCATTTGCCCAGAGAAAACCCATGACGCTGGACAGACAACCCTACTCCTTGTCACATACAAGCCACTTGACACAATGACATACTTTATGATGCCCTCCCCCCCCCCCCCTCTGAGAACCAGAATATAATTCTTGTATGACCTAAGTGAGATGCTAAGAAAGTTCATCACGATTTCCAACGTGGTTTCCACTTGTCAGTGCTGCAGAGCGCCCGAAAAGAACAGCTGTCTAGTCATTTGGATGGGACAAAAAAGTGAGGTCCCCACTACACATTGGCGAGCACATAAAAGATCCCTGGGCAGTTGAAATTCAATATAAGAGTAGGTCTGGGCAGACTATCCCCTCCTAGCACACTGTATGGCGTATTCCCGTCTTCATTACCGTAGCCCAGTAGGAGCAGCACAGTAGTGTGTTAAACCCCATTTCATTTTATTTCATTTCTTAAACATGCATTATGCAAGAGCAAAATCTGCTTATTACAAGTCTTTCTTTAGGCCTGAAATGTTATCTAAATTATCAATTAGACATTAATTAACTTATCCAGACCATAATAAACTCTTGATGTCAAGGCTAGCCTTCGATGTAGACTGGATTAGATTCCTATATGCCGCTAACGGCCGTTGACAATTAAATCAAGAAAAGCGGATAATCGAGACTTGCTGTTTATATTAATGATTTTAGTAATGATGACCGAGACTATGCCAAAATTTCACGAGCTTCTTTCTCGGCTCATGGTGGATCAATTTGACTGAAATTTTCAGCAAATTACCTTTACACTATCTAGTTTTTAACTATTATAACGAGAACTGCCATCTCGTTATCTTATCTCCCATAATGTATCTTTAAGTGAGGCTAAGCAAAATACTGTGTAAAATGAAACCTGTCAAGAGTAGAGAAATAATACATTATTAGAATTTACCTTTTGTGATTGCTTTGTTCATATCTCGACGTGTAGCAGCCAGGTAAATTTTTTTCACTAATTCTAAATTATTTAATAAAGATATAAATGCTGTAAAATAGGCGTAACTAATCTGGCGATGTTTTTCACCTCCTAAAGCAATCTGAAAATAGACAATTTATCATAGAGAATTCACCATCTTTAACATGCATTATGGAAGATTTATCATAGAGAATTCACCATCTTTAACATGCATTATGGAAGATTTATCATAGAGAATTTACCATCTTTAACATGTATTATGGAAGATTTATCGTAGAGTATTCACCATCTTTAACATGCATTATGGAAGATTTATCATAGAGAATTTACCATCTTTAACATGCATTATGGAAGATTTATCCTAGAGTATTCACCATCATTAACATGCATTATGGAAGATTTATCATAGAGAATTTACCATCTTTAACATGCATTATGGAAGATTTATCATAGAGAATTTACCATCTTTAACATGCATTATGGAAGATTTATCATAGAGAATTCACCATCTTTAACATGCATTATGGAAGATTTATCATAGAGAATTTACCATCTTTAACATGCATTATGGAAGATTTATCGTAGAGTATTCACCATCATTAAAATGCATTATGGAAGATTTATCATAGAGAATTTACCATCTTTAACATGCATTATGGAAGTTTTATCGTAGAGTATTCACCCATCATTAAAATGCATAATGGAAGATTTATCGTAGAGTATTCACCCATCATTAAATGCATTATGGAATATTTATCATAAAGAATTAATCCTCTTTAAAATGCATTATGGAAGATTTATCATAGAGAATTTACCATCTTTAACATGCATTATGGAAGATTTATCGTAGAGTATTCACCCATCATTAAAATGCATAATGGAAGATTTATCGTAGAGTATTCACCCATCATTAAATGCATTATGGAATATTTATCATAAAGAATTAATCCTCTTTAAAATGAATTATGGAAGATTTATCATAGAGAATTTAAGATGCATTATGGAAGATTTAGATAAAGTGCTGGCCATTCTTGCTATTTTTGTGATTATAACGATCAAGAGAAAGTTCATAAAAAGGTTAAAGGTCACGAAATGTCACGGTTTTAACATTGAAGTCAATAGGAGGAGAGAATTACTGGGCTGAAAACTGATATGGTGAAGTCAATGGGGAGAATTTTACTGCACTGAGTCCTGATGTGGTGAAGTCCATTGGGAGGGGGAGACTTACTGGACTGTCCCCTGATATGGTGAAGTCCATTGGGAGGGGAAGACTTACTGGGCTGAGTCCTGATATGGTGAAGTCAATGGGGGGGGGGGGGGAGAGAATTACTCAATCTGATTAAAAAACAGATCTATATTTCGTTTTTTGTTTTTTTTGTATACTTTCAATGGCCTCTACTAAATGAGGATCTGACCAGTTGTAATGGAAGGTCGCGTCAGGTGTCATTCGAGTGGTGTTTGACCCTATGACGTCAGACATTGATTAATCAATCAGCGTTGACGTTTCTAGTGGTTTAACCAAAGTTTTGTGCCCCTCACGCCAAACATTCGCCGTAACAGACCGTTTCATTGGCTAATCCCTCACATCATCCAAAACGCGGGTTACATAACAACTCTTCCAGATCCTAGTGTAGTACATCTTCAAAAGAAGGCTTGACCTCGCCTTAACTATGTACAACCTAGATGTTGTAAAACTCGCGGTCGTTGCTTCAGGAACATGAGTGTAGTAAAGACAAGTAAAACAAAATGTTGAACTATAAAAACAAAACGGAATAGGATCTGTGTTTAAATCAGATTGTGAATTACTAGTCTGACTCCTGATGAAACATAAACGAAGACTTACTGCTATTAAATTTTCTTCTACGAAGGGAGTTAATAAATGATTTTTTAGCTTCAATATAATCTGTTCAAAATTCTGGGCAGTGATAAAACCTGTATTGCCAACATCAAGACGACGAAAGGCTTGCAGGGCGTGTTCCTCATGAAAATCCTGAAAATAGGCAAACAAATTCTATATTTAATATTCAACTATGAAATAAACATATTAACAGCAAGGGCACATGGGGCTATTGAGTGATCGTTGTTGATTCAAAAATTACTTATTGCTTACATGTATGTAAATTAACCATCTCGCCAGGTGTGGTGTATTGTTATATTCACCAGGTATGTAATTGTATTAACCAGGTATGAAGTTGTATTCTTAATCTCATAATCTCTTTCTGTGATCATAGTTATCTGACTATCAATGAAACAATGCGTTTCTAATTAAACGTCTAAGATAGTATTTTTATAATTTAAAATATGTTGTGGGTTGTAGGTATTTTACTCTACTACAATATTCACCAGGTGGGTTGTACAGTAGTATTTTACCCATCCACCCCCAACACTGGGTTCAAACTTGCGACCTCCAGGTTAACAAGCCAACGTCTTAGTCGCTGAGTCACAACTTACGTTAATTAATTAATGTACCTGCCCGTTCCACCTCCCATCAGATGTATCGTTCCTCACCCACCTCCCAGTAGATGTATTCCCCCTCACCCACCTCCCAGTAGATGTATTCCCCATCCACCTCCCAGTAGATGTATACCCCCTCACCCACCTCCCAGTAGATGTATCCCCAACCCACCTCCCAGTAGATGTATCCCCAACCCACCTCCCAGTAGATGTATCCTCCTCCACCCACCTCCCAGTAGATGTATCCTCCTCCACCCACCTCCCAGTAAATGTATCCTCCCTCACCCACCTCCCATTAGAAGGATCCCCCAACCATCTCCCATTTGAAGTATCCCCCATCCACCTCTCAGCTGATGTATCCCCCACCCACCTCCCAGTAGAAGTGTCCACCACTCACATCCCAGTAGATGTATCTACAACCCACCACCCAGAAGAAGTATCCCCCATCCACCTCCCATTAGAAGTATCCTCCCCGACCCGTCATAATCAACATTAAATATAGACTTACGTGAATCAACTGTGTGAACTCCATGTAAGATATTTTTCTTTTTTTATCGTTACCGAAGTGAAGACGTATAAATTCACTGTTAAAGTTAAACGGCATCTTGCTACTTAATGTTGTATGGTTTATTATATTCTCAAAATCCTCTACAAAAAAAAAATTTAGTATTTATAACCGTGCAATGGAAGGAGACATGAAATGCATGAAATAAATTGAAAGTATATCCCCTGTCAATCATATTTAGATTGGTGGGGCCTAAGGGCTTTTTTTTTCGAAGAGCGTTGACCGAAAGAACAACAAGAATCTTCACAATTCAGACTTGCACAGATATGATAAATTCCATCTTGATTTAATGGCGTAGTTTAACCAACTCTTCAATTTCTGCACTTTGTTAAATTGTTTAGTGTATATCAACATTAGTGATATTCTCGACTGTGGTTTAAGTGATAAGAGGGAATCTTTTTACACAATCAAGGGATAGAGAGCAAGAAATGGGGTTTAACGTCCACACGACACAAACTAGGTATTTCGGGGCTAACATATGGTTCAATTTTATTTAAATAATTCGCGTAAAATTTGAGGATCCACAATGTTGGACAGGCCACCCTTCAACTCTTGTCACGTACGACCGGGGAATCCAAACCACACCAGTTGACTCAATGACAGACCTTGTGATAGAACGCAAACACGCACACACGTTAACCATTCGGGCATCCAACCCCCTCGACAATTAAGGGGCTGTCTCAAAATTTCAACACTTGTGTCCAAATGAATAACGTGCAGAACTGGATTGATGGGTTGAACGACACAGAGGACAGAAAATAATAATTTAACTGTTATTGAATCCTGAATGGAAACATGTCACCATTTAATCCATTGACAGGGATATGCAGTTGGATAGGTTTGTGGGTGAAGATCTATCCGCGAGTTACGAGGATAGGCAGACGGGTGCCAGGTGGATCTAGATCTTTCCACTGTTTATTCGCATTGATGGAAGTGACGAAATTTTGCGATAATCTCGAACAGATTCATTTATCTGAATTAAAATAAACCAAGCTCAATTATCTGTATACTAACCACAAGCGATATACCCGTTTCCGTTCCTATCGAAAATTTGAAAGGCAAGAGCGTAGAGACTATCTGGCAGACATAACAGGGCCTCAAAGGCCTGGAACTCAGCAAATGATATGAGTCTGAAAAACAAATAAAAAATCAATAAAATCAGTCAACTATTCTTGTCTAACCTAAGATATTTGGAGTAAATATTTCCAATTGTTTTCGTTATACAATTGGTGAATAAGTGAATGTTTCTTGATAAATGAGTTTAATAAGCACCATTGATCGTTTTGGTCTAACTTAATGTTGGCTCCCCTCCTCCGTCTTAAAATGACAAGCGCCATTTAGTGTGCTATGAGGAGAAATTTTGTCCAAACATTGGGGGTACGGCCTACTTTAATTTTGAATTCCAACTGCTAAGGGTTCTTTTGCTTGCATGCCAATATACACAGGTTCTAGATGTCCAGGTGGCAAGCTAGTAAATGAATTGAAATTGGGTTTAACATCCTACTGTTCTGCTCCTAAACTGGGCTAATGAAGAGGGCATCGGCCATACAGTGTGCTATGAGGGAAGTTTTGCCCGGGCAGCGGCACTATGGCCTACTCTTATATCAAATTCCAACTGCCAAAGAATCTTTTACATGCATGCCAATGTATACACGGGACCTCGGTTTTCCATCCTATCCAACTAGATAGCTATCCTTGTCAGGCTCTCAGCCCTGCACCACTGACAAGGGCAGGGATTGAAATAGCGAGCTAGTGACTAACCACTGAGCTAATGCGACTTGTCTGAGAAGGAGAATAAGGTGATATATTTTAATCTTACCCATCTCTGGTTGTATCAACACTACTGGCAAATAACTGTAGGGTATACTCGTTACAATTCTCCGATTGTAAAACTTGTAAATATTTATGGATCAAATCAGAATACGTCATATATTTGGAACCATTGACATCTCGACTGGCGTACTGTAAAATATAAAGTTTTAAAAAGATTTTAAATAATACGCCTGTCACGGACAATGTACGGCACGCGATCTCTCAATATAAATATTATTCACTATACTAGAGGTTGATCCGGCGCTGCACAGGTTGTGCTCGGAACCAGAAGTAGTATATCTTGAAACCGGAAGCAGTAGTCCAACACCAACGGGTCTATGTTACTCGGTACTCCCCGATACAAACTACTCCTATATACACCAAATTTGAGCCTCGGAACTGTCCTATTGTAGCCGCTAACCCTGGACGGACAAACAAACGACAGTCACAGATATTAATATAGATTATTATTATTTATTTCTTAAAGGCTCAATACCACTCTTGTTGTAACTGAATAATATGTCCCAATCTTTATTCTGGTCAACAAATTGTACTATTTTACAATATTCCAATTAATTGATGGTACAAATTTCATCTTAACACACCTAATTTAAAAAAATGGAAAACTTCAACTAAATGATTTGAAAAGCCTGACGTAAAGCTTTTCAAATGTGACTTGGGTTTAAAAATATTTTTGAACCCTTTTGACAAGTAAAATAGGATTTAATGGATAATTTACACAACAGATAGGACACTAATACATCTAGTACTTAGAATAAGCCTATTTTTTATTTTCTGGAGCTGTCAAGCCAGCAAGAGTGTTATTGTCCCTTTAAGTCTGGACACAAGTCGTTCCGGTTGCTCAAAACATAACGGAGCCCAACACTTTCATTAAATATAACGGCAAATTAACGACATGTTAAAGTTAACGGGGCTTCCAGCAACAGACTTTCTCTTCAGGGGGGTTGGATGGCTGAATGGTTAGCACGTGTGCGCTGTATCATAAAGTCTGTCATTGAGTCAACTGGCGTGGTTTCGAATCACCCGTTGTACGTGACAAGGAGTAGGATCGCCTGTCCAACCTCGTGGGTTTTCTCCGGGCCCTCCCACTACTAAAGACCCCTACGCGCAAGCGAATTATGGAAATAAAATTGTACGATATGTTAGTCCCGAAATGACTTCGTTTGTGTCGAGTGGACGTTAAACCCCATTTCTCTCTCTCTCTCTCACTTTCTCTTCATTAAAGATAACGATTCATAAACTCCATGTTAACGAGTCGTTATAAGTTAACAGAACTTTGAACAATCGGTACAGATTTGTGTATTTTCCATGTTTTTATTGTATTATTAATTCAGGTCCGAAAGTTAAATAACATGTTGTCAGGAACAACTATTTTTTCTGACATCTATATTGAAAGGAACCAAGATTGTTGGGATATAAACATATATTTCAAGTTTCATCAAATATTGTGACCATAATTCAGGAAGTTACAGTCTGACATGCGCCAATATCAAACGGCCCAATATCTTTGGGTTATAAACATACATTTTAAGTTTAAGTGAAACCAGATCAAAATTGTGACCTCCAGGCGTTTCGACAATCTAAAAACGTGATTTTTCATAAAATCAAGGACCTTAATCCATGAAGTTTTGGTCTTATACACGTACATGCCAATATCAAAAGGTACCAAGATCTTCGGGATAGAAACCTTTATTTTAAGTTTCCTCAAAATCGAATAAAAAGGTCCACAATCATTATATTACATACTATTACATTATTTGCGTTCAGGAAGTGGTCATTTTGGGATGAGATTTCGGTCTGATTTTCACAAATTCAAACTCAACAGTCATTATTGTGTAACGGTGATAATCTAAACATTTTTCTAAATTAGATAAAAATTGTGACATCTACATGTAGAGGGTCCACAAGCTACAATTAGGGGTTATAACCCATGAAGTTACGGTCCGTACATACAATATTGAAATGAGCTGAGATCTTTGGGATATAAACAGGTACCTATATTTCTCGATTCATCAAAATCGATAAAAATTGTGAACTGTAGAGTGTCTACAAACAAAATGTGAATGGATGTACAGGGGTCACAACAATAAGTCCAAATAAACCTGTGGTAACATACCTTGGTGAAGATCTCTCTCAAATCTTGAGTGTTGGCCCGCCATGACACTTCAGCCTATAATATAAGAAAAGATAAATCAATATCTGAAATTAACCAGTGAATAACTACAATATTTAGACCAGTCTGATTATAACACAGATCCTATTTCGTTTCGTTTCGTTTTAATAATTCAAATTTTCGTTTTACTTGTCTTTACTACACTAGGATCTGAAAGAGTTGTTATATAACCCGCGTTCTGAACGATGTGAGGGATTAGCCAATAAAATGGTCTGTTACGGCAAGTTCTTGGCCTTTTGATACACGAAACTGTGGGTAAGCCACTAGAAACGTCAATGCTGATTGATTAATCAATGTCTGACGTCCTAGGGTCAAAAGCCGCTCGTTTGACCCCGACATGAACTCCCACTATCACTTGTCAGATCTTCATGTAGTGCAGGCCATCGTAAGTATAAAAAATGAAACGAAATATAGATCTGTATTTGAATCAGATTGAATTTAAAGGCTATCTACCTACAATAATCATGCTATAACCATGCCATGATGACAGACAATGTATCAAGAATTGTTTTACCATGATCAATAAATCAAACAAACAAATTTCAGACTTTTTTACAATTAGCAACTAATAAATAAATAAATTAAAGTAAAAATTTAAAATGAAATTGTGCATGAGTTGGAAAGTCGAGTCTTACATATTCATGAATGATGTATGTACATATGTACATGGAGGCTATAGTGCATGAGACGTACATTTAGGTGAGAGAACATGAGCTGGATAGTCGAGTCTTACATGTTCATGAATGCCGTATTTACATGTAGTCTAGAGTGAATGAGCTGGATAGTTGAGTCTTAAATGATCATGAATGATGTATGTACATTTAGGCTAGAGAGTATGAGCTGGATAGTTGAGTCTTACATTTTCATGAATGATGTACCCACACATAGGCTAGAATGATGTGCGTACATGTAGGCTAGAATGATGTGCGTACATGTAGGCTAGAATGATGTGCGTACATGTAGGCTAGAGTGATGTGCGTACATGTAGGCTACAGTAATGTGAGTACATGTAGGCTACAGTCATGTGCGTACATGTAGTCTAGAATGATGTGCGTACATGTAGGCTAGAGTGATGTAGGCTACAGTGAACAACAAATAAAAAAAACATGCTTTAAACACCGAATAGATTACCATGCATGAACAAAATAGCGTCTTTTTGTTCCAATGAAAAATTTGAGAAATCTACTTAAAGCCGCACTAGGTAAGATTAGATAAAGAGCTGACAGTTCTCGCCATAACAGTTAAAAAAATAGATAATGAAAAGATGATATACTGAAAATTTCAGTCAAATTAGATCACCCTGAGTCGAGAGAGAGAGAGAGAGAGAGAGAGAGAAATGGGGTTTAACGTCCACTCGACACAAACTAGGTCATTGCGCTTAGAGGTCTTTAGCAGTGGGAGGAAACCGGAGGACGCGGAGAAAACCCACGAGGTTGGACAGGCGCCCCTACTCCTTGTCACGTACAACCGGGTGTTCGAAACCACGCCAGTTGACTCAATGACAGGCCTTATGATACAGCGCGCACATGCTAACCATTCAGCCATCCACCCCCCCCCCCCCCCTGAGTCTAGACGACGACGCTACAATTAAAGTCTAGCCTCGATTGTCGTCACTAACGTTGTTACGATAATAAACAAAGTCTCGATTGTCTATTTTTATGGTTTAAATCTTTTTGTTGAATTAAATATGAATTTTTTATTACGTACAGGATTTGAATATTTTGTTCACATGTGATTTTTACCTGTGGTATGAATTCTTCTGCTTAAATAACGATAAGAGTTATGCCCCTTTATTTTCGGTAAAATGTCCGACAAGAAAAACTTTGAAATCCCATCACTGGCACATGCTAACCATTTGGCCATCCAACCCCACTCACATGCACTTTAATTCATATGGTTTGTCATTGGGTCTAATGGCGTGGTTTGTCAAGTCTGAGCCCTCTGGTTTCCTCCCACTGCTAAAGACCCATATGCACAAACCAAACAATTTATTAAAATAGAAATTCAACCTTATGTTATTCCCCAAATGACATAGTTTGTGTCAAGTCAATCTGATTAAAACACAGATCCTATTTCGTTTCGTTTTTATTGTTCAAAATTTCGTTTTACTTGTCTTTACTACACTAGAATCTGGAAGAGTTGTTATCATTGACGTGTTCTGAATGGTGGGAGGGATTAGCCAACGAAACGGTCTGTCACTGTGTGCTTTAGGCGTGTTTCGCTCGGAACTGTGGGTAATCCACCAGTAATATCAAGGCTGACTGGTTAATCAAATTTCTGACGTCATAGGGTGAAAACCCACGTGTATGAACTCTGACGCGACTTATCGCTACAACCGGTCAGATCTTCAAGTAGTGTAGGCGATCGAAAGTATAAAAAAACCGAAATGAAATATAGATCTGTATTATAATCAGATTGGTGTCAAGTAGACGTTAAATCCCAGTTCTCTCCCTTTAATAAAGTAAAGATAACATAAAAAGTGGAGCAATTCAGAAAAATAAATGTCATATCTTTTTAATGTAGTCTATTATCTATATAGGTAGTAGATTAGTATAAACAGCATGTTATACATGTACCATAGTATATTATCTATATAGATAAAGGAGGGTTGGATGGCCTGTCATTCAGTCAACTGGTGTAGTTTCGATTCCCCGGTTGTACATGACAAGGAGTAGGGTCACCAGTCCAACCTCGTGGGTTTTCTCTGGGTCCTCCGGTTTCCTCCCACTTCTAAAGACCCCTAAGCACAAACGAATTATTGAAATAAATTTGAAGCATATGTCAGTCCCAAAATGACCTAGTTTGTGTCAAGTGGATGTTAAACCCCATTTCTCTCTCTCTCTCTCTCTCTCTTGTCAAGTCTGAGCCCTCTGGTTTCCTCCCACTGCTAAAGACCCATATGCACAAACGATTTATTAAAATAAAATTCAACCTTATGTTATTCCCCAGTCCTCTCTCTTTAATAAAGTAAAGATAACATAAAAAGTGGAGCAATTAAGAAAAATAAATGTTATATCTATATAGGTAGTAGATAAGTGTAAACAGCATATTATATCTTTAACATACATGTACCATAATATCTATATAGATCGATGTAAATATGATAAGAGAATTAGTAACTAGTATGTTTATATGACACAAGACACAGCCCTTTCATGTGATAACAGTCTGATAATATAACACTAACTTACAACATGACACAAGGTCAGGTAAGGTCAAACGATATAAATCAACACAAATATACAGGTAAAAACTGTAGATATATTATACTATGCTTGAGGTCACACAAGGTCAACAGACATCAATCACAAATACAAAATAAAATGGACCTTATTTCTAACTTTTTGTCAACGACTCATTTTTCATATTTGTTGTTTCAATCTGTTTTCAAATTGCTGATTATTAATTTCATTTTTTGGATAATATCTAATTTATAACAGAATAATCTACTCTACATTGTAAAGCGCTAGATTTTTTTAAAAGAGACAAACTTTTATGCAAAATTTTAATTGTATATATTTCATCATGAATCTTGTTTTTTTTAAATATTTATATATGTAAAAGATTTGATATATTTATTTTTAATTATATATTTTCTGCGATATTTGTTTTTATTTTCATATATATGAATACATCATTGTGATATTGTTTTAATTTGTCTCGTTAAATTCACCCTGTTTGGCGCAATATAGTCCGGTTGGAGCTGACGTGCCATTAAACAACATTTCATTTCATTCATTCATAACAGAATAATCTACCCTTAAAATAAAACAAAACCAACAGTAAATAATCTCCCGGTCTGGATTTAATTGGATTAAAATGAGGTCTATCAAATTATTTTATCATGATGACTAGCTTCAGAGGATGCCTAGTGCAGTAAAACGTTCAAGGAATTGAACCACTGTGGCAAATAATTCAAGTCTTTCGGACAAATCATTCAAGCCTTCAGGCAAATCATCCAAGCGTTTCTGACAAATCATCCAAGCGTTCCTAACAATTCATCCTAACAATTTATACTTATCACCAATAGAAATTTTTATACCTATCTCAAATAGAAATTTTTATACCTATCACCAATAGAAATTTTTATACCTATACCTATCTCAAATAAAATTTTTTATACCCATCTCCAATAGAAATTTTTATACCTATCTCAAATAGAAATTTTTATACCTATATCAAATGGAGATAGAAATTTTTATACCTATCTCCAACAGAACTTTTTATACCTATGTCACATAGAAATTTTTATACCTATCTCAAATAGAAATTTTTATACCCATCTCTCATAGAAATTCTTATACCCATCTCTAATAGAAATTTTTATACCTAGGTCACATACTTTAATTTTCAATAATTAGTCGGGTCAATTAAGGTTATTCTTGAAACTAATTAGTAATGGGGAAGCTTATTTGTATACTTTCAATGTGGCTACAACTTACAAAAAATATCTACATGTATCAAAGATACCAGTTATGGGTATAACAACAGGGGCGGAGTCCAAACCCCGCCCTGCTCAGCTACATAAAATAAAAAGAATGCCTTGCATCAATGAAATTAAATCACAATGTTATCCTACATCATTACAATAATGATTTGTCTCTTTAAAAAGCTCAATTTGTATGCCTATGCCTTTGTAATTTAGAGATGATGATGACAGATTTCCTTAACAGGAACCTGGCAAACCCCCTCCTGCAAAAATTCCTGGATCCGCCCCTGAACAACATTTAAATATTTGTTATAAATTCACCAAGGGGGGACATGGATTTACATAAGATACAAGCATTATATTATAAAGGTTATGATAAGATCTTATTACATGTGGATTATGTACATAGTGGGTAATAATGTTATGATATAAAGATCTTATCATCAAGTCTCTAGTGCAATCCAGTTAAATACAATATATTACTATGTTGAAAGTTCAACTTTGACCTTTCATTCATTCATAAAGTGTATGAGATCATTGACAACCTTTACTACACTACTATTAATAG